TAACGTAAAACAGAAAATATTGTACACGTATTACTTATTAATCAAGCGAAAGAAACCTTTGGGACAAGCTAATATATACATGTCGAATTGAGTAACTTGGTTCTTTTCGAAGTCGGTTGAAAACAAGCGTCGAAGGAATCTGTGTTTTCCACCAAAGTCAACTTTATTTACTTTAAAACAAAATTACAAGGCGTAGAATGACCACACCTAATAATCCTCTCCCGATAATAATTATGTACTCTACGCGTAACTCTACGAACGTACTTCTCGTAAAGTCCGAGGAAACGGATCGATCCGCTAAAAAGGATATCTATAAGCATCTTTACACTTGGTCGATTTAATGGTAATCGTGGCCACTTATAACATACGGCGCAACTTTCAGTTACACCAAGGAAATATACACGAGGAAAGTAACGAGCATGCAATCAATCTTTTCTAACAAGTACGACCGTCAAACACAACGGAGAAACCCACGAACGAGAATTCTTCTCTCGTCTTTCTTTCTTTCTTTCTCGTCCTCCGTGCTTTGGAACGCTCACAACCCTTTCCACTTCGTCGAGCGAAATTATTGCTAGACCAAACATGTTTATGCGGTGTACATGGATGTACGAGACAAGAAAAATATATACAGTCAGTGTAATAAGTATTCGTACAGCAACCAATTTAAAATAAATGGTTCCTGTACGAATACTTATTACACTGACTGTAAGACAACGATACGGGATTTGCTCAGCTTCGTGTTTGTTTACTATTAGGATTTTTCTTACGCGAAAAGCACCACGAATACTCTTATTACAACATGAGATTATAAAGTACCTCGACTAAATATGATTGAAATTTACGGAGCAAAAGAAAAAGAGTATCGTGTTCTTCATGGCATAACGGTTCCAGAGACCGATGTCTCGTTCGAGGGTGATGCGTCCGAATCGCCGCGACCCCCCGTGGTCGGTGGATCGCGGCGAGACGGTCCCGCGAATAATACAATGCATATTTGTTTCACATACCTGAATGCGACAATTACGTTTCCTAAAAGTCTAGCAATCCGCGAGGTTGTTGCACGTGCATCGGATGGAGAGAGAACGCAGGTACTACGCGGGTAAACACCTGGCCGTGTACGGAACTAGAGATACGCCGTGCGGCCGCGGGTGTGTCCGTGCATCGGATAACACAACGCACGAACGCGAGAGTGCCGATGTACGGAAATGTATCGAGCGTGGCGAGCAGCGTCTGTCGTCGATATTCACCAAAAACGAGAACTAATGACGGATGGATTTATCGCGTACGTTTAGGTGTATGTTTACGCGTGATATAAAATATATATCAGAAGACGTCCGGCGTACGCGCTCGCGCCTCTACGGTCTGTCTCTATGTGTGTGCAATTGTCGTGTGTATATGTGTGTGTTCGACGCGTAACAGAGTCGATGTATACGTTGCGCGTATAGGAACCGCGATGTGTAAAGTGCCGCGCGGCGTTTATATGGTGTTGTACATGAACGTGTGCGTGTGTATGTATGTATATATGTGTGTGTACAATATGTCAATCAATCGGAACTGAAGAATGAACTAAAACGGAAAGAAATGAAACTATAGCGAAAGAAGGGAGCAGACAAGCGGCCAGTAGCTCTTCTACTCCTGGACTCGAGACGGAACTGGCCCGTGGCCCGTTCCGCTCGACACCGCCTCGGCTCTTTCCCTCCCGCCCTTCAACCCCTTTCACGCCTACGCCGCAGCCCCACTCGCCGCCCTGCATCCACCGCTGCCTTTCATCCCCCTCGAGCCATTCCTCCCACCCCGCTAACAGCGCGCACCCCCAGAGCCGCCTGGTACTTCGGGGTTGGATGAGACTAGGGCGGTGGTCGTTGAACCAAGTATATAGACGAGCTGTCTGCGTCGTACTGCTTGCGCATAAACCGTTTTTCCTTTCTCTCTTCCTCTTCCGCTCTATGTATCGCGAACCCTTCGCGTAGTTTGCTTCGCACTCTCCTTTGATTTTTCCTTCTCTTTCCACTATTTGCCCTTCTCCCTACTGCTTTTCTTTTTCGCTTTGGTCTTCGTTGTTATTCCAACCTCCTATTTCGACGCCTCATCCCATTCTCTCTGCTTTGTTATTCTGTTATATTCCTCCTGTACGCAGGTGGTTCGTCATCTTAATCTAACTAAAACCTTTAACCGTAAAGCATTTCTCTTATCCATCTATTCTCTGACACCCCCAGTAGTTTGGTAAGGTCTGATGGCCCTGCGAGGACATGCTCTCTTCTTCTGCTTTGGACACCTTTCGAACGTTCCTCTTTCATTTACTTTCTCGCTCGTTTTCTCGTCACGTCTACCGCCCTCTACCTTACATCTACCTCTAACGTCTAACCTTCCATACAGGGTGTCCCAAAAATGTTGTAACACCTTGAAAAGGGTGGTTCGGGAGGTGATTTGAAACAACTTTTTCCTTAGCGAAAATGTTGTATGATGCTTCGTTAAGGAAATATTAACGAAAAACGCTGACCAATGAGAGCGCGCGTATATCGTTGGAGCGGCTGCGGTAGCGTATGAGCGCGGCCGCCTAGCGCGTAGCCTACGCTCAACCGGCATACTCGCGCTCTGATTGGTCGGGGTTTTCTGTTAATATCTCATTAACGAAGCCTCGGACAACATTTTCGCTAAGGAAAAAATTGTTTCAAATCACCTCCCGATCACCTCTTTCAAGGTGTTACAACATTTTTGGGACACCCTGTATTTCCTATTGTCCTCTCATATGTCGCGCTACTTCACCCGTAAACATGTCGCAGGTAGAGCTACCGACCTCTACGGAGCCGAGTAAACATGCACGAGCTACGACAAACTATTCGCTGGGGTTAAAACTGGTCCCGTGCAAACAAGCCCTTCTTCCGAATTAAATATGTATATCGGAAGTACCATTATCGTATCTCTGATTTTCCAGTTTCCATTCGCATATCGCTCTTACAAATATACAATATACATTTACTGTTAGGAAAAATAAAGCAACCTGTCAGACTATTGGATTCTATTTAGAAACCCTCTAATTCTATTTGGACATGACTGCCATCTATACGACGTCAAACAACCAAACCGATCGATAACTGCAAACCTTTCGGTACTTGCAGATCGTTTCAAAATTCTTGGCAGATCGAACATCGAAAAAATGTAGAAAATCATCGACGATAAAATAAAGAACGTCCGAGTATATCGTACTTGCGTTAAGTGCACAGTACTGTGATTCTTGAATATTAACGAATAGTAACTCGAAGAAATAAGTATTCCTTTATCCAGCATCGATGTGCGCAAGCAGACATCCTGTTCGGAGGCAAACGACCACCGACAACCACCTACCAGCCCGAGAGAACCCGAATGTTAACGAATTCACGCGATCCGATTATGCACGACGTGGGCGGAGACCGACCCCGGTTACCCGGGCTCGATCCTTTCCGCAGACACTTGTTTTACAGCGAAAACATTTCTAAAAATTTCATTTTTTTTTATAAAACGTTCCTCTTACCAAAAATCTCATTCTAACGCCACAATTTTACAGAAATTTCGCATGAATACAAAGTGTTTAATTGAAATAACCTATTTATCACGAATTTCATACAATTGGCAAATCAATGCATTTAGAATTTATTAATTTCGTAAAGACGTCTTAAGATTTTGTCTTAACCTTGTCTCCTGCGATAATCAAAGCTGTAATAAATGGCTGACGTACTATTGTTCGTTACGATTACGGACAACTAATTTTATTTCTATTTTTTTCTACTTGAATTTCACGTGTGATATACTAGTCAGATATATCGTACTACGCACACGCGATACTTTAAATGCATTCACTTACGGTATACAGGTACTCGATACATGGCCTTGCAGCGAAAGATGAAGATGTTTCTGGTGTGGGAGACAAGTCGATGATTTTAATACTTTTTCGCTATGTCTTCGACTGTTTGTAATTAAAACGCTTGGTATACCGCACTAACACGCTATCTTTAAAATGTTTTAATGCACGATTTGAGGTTATACGTGAAAAAACTATTTACACTATACACTGAATAAAGATTGTTCATTGCAACGTTTGAAATTCATATTCGAATTACAAAAAGGTCTAAAATATTACTATCTTTTTGCATCCACTCAACGAAAATGAACATCAAAGGTTTCGAAATACGACTGTGTTTGTATATAGTAACACATTGTTGTCGATATTGTGTTCCCAACGGTTATTCGTTGTTTTCGAAACTGTTCGATAAACGAAAATATCACTCTTTCCGAGAGTAAACATCCCGCGACACGCACACGTAAAAAGAAATTTCTGCAAAATATATCACATTACGTCACAGTGAGCAATAGAAGAAATCATTGAATTCCAAATACGGGACCAAATCAAAAACGCGGTAGAACAGAAAATGAAAGTTACGTTTCTGGCAACACTTAGGCACTCGTTTTATCGAGACTACGTTCATTGTAAGAATAAATAACAGAAATTCAAGATAAACGAAAACTTGAATTTCTTTCAATACGTACAACAATTTATTACAAACTAGTTCAATTCTAAGGAAAGACGCGGGAGACTGACTCGATACAATGCTGCCATCTTGCGCTCTTTTTCATACAAAATTCCCTATCGCGAATCTAATCCTAATTCCTCGGTTATTTCGGAAAATAAACTTCTTTCATTTATAAATGTTAAGTTTCAATAATGTAGACAAATCTCGTAGTAATGTTCACCTTCCTTAATAAGGGAGTTTTATGTTACTTTTCATTAGATCATATTTTTATGAAAGTAGTTTCAAAAGCGAAAAGAATTTATACTTAATGAAAATAAATGTGCTCGTGCATGCATAAAAAGATGTATTTTTACAAAGTTCCAATTGTAATCTTAACGAGGTGAGAATAAGAGAAAATTCAATAAAAAATTGTAGAATCTAGTATAAATGGCAGCCACGACGTCGCAGCGCCATCTCGAAAATATTTCTATATAGACACTATTCGTTCGCGGACACGTAATGGGCCCGTCCACCATCCGCCACAGACGCCGCCATATTGTACAGAAGGAACGAGAGGCGTAACCACGCCATTGTACGCATCACGATATTTCTCGTCTGATTGTACAGAGAAAGAGAAAAGTAAGTGGAAATCCAGCACGCAAGAATTCGGCCGCAACACGAACATCATTTTTTGTAAATCTGGTGCATCGCGAAGAAGACTACAGGACGCAATAACATCAGGTAACGATTATCAATCAACACCACACGATGCGTCGTTCGCTTTGCGGATCATGGTTTTTCGTTTAATCCTTTTGTGTTCTTTCGTTTGTACCTCATTTTCCTAACATTTCGATGGCATTTGATTGCTTTTCGAGCGTACAGTTTTAATAGAATTAACGTCTTTACTATCACGCATGTCGACTGCGGAATTACGTTTGAAAATTTTGGACGAAAATCTGTCACGATGTTTCGAAGTATTCACAAAGAGTGTTTGGTTTTTTTTGGTAAAACTGTTTTTTTTTTTTTTTATATCGCATCGCTTCCGAATAAACTGTAGAATTTAAGTGAAACGCAAGTAGTGAATGATATCCAAAGGAGTTAATTAGTTTAACGATATCAGTGGCAATTTGTTGCTATTTTTATATTGTATTGTATACAAATGATTCTTCGGATTACTTCTTATTACTTCTGACTATATAATGCGGCATATGTTAATTAAATAAAGTGCTTTTCTCGCCGCTTTAATTGAATTTCAAATGCTTATTGATTGTCATTTATAATTTAATTGTCTGGTCCAAATCTTTTTTATTGTGAACTAGTTAATAATGAATTGATTTTCTTGTGTTCCATTTCTTTTATCGCGTGCTTTATTATAAAGAGAGTAATGAGAATAATTTTATTCTTTCAGAAGTGATTTAAATGTATGGACAACATGTACAGTAACAATATAGACCCTTGGGAGCCGGGCTACGGGCCCGACCGAAGAGGACATAATTCTGATTATGACTATCGCAACGATTATGGAAGCAGCAGATCGCCAGATTACGCGGAACATCGCGACAATGATCATCGGGATAGGGATCATCGTAGTCCGGAATACAGAAATCATCGTGGAAGAGAGAGAGATCGCGAAAGAGATCGCTCGAGAGACAGAAGGGATCGCAGCAGAGATGACAGGGATCGTAGCTACAGAGACAGAGAAGATCGTTACACGAGACAAAGGGAGAGAGATTCCGTAGAAAGAGACAGAGATCGGGATCGTGATCGCGACAGAGATAGAGATCGCTCTAGGAGAGACAGAGATAGAGATAGGGATAGGGATCGTAGAGGGAAGCGGGAGGACAGAGATCGGGATCGCGACGACGATCATAGCCGAGAAAGTATGGACTTTGAGCACGACCATGGACGTACTTATGGTTCGTCCATGGAAGGCATCCACTACAAATCTCAATCTCCGAACAACACCATAATGATTCGTGGGCTTGCTCAGCATATAACAGAAAATGACGTAGGTTGTCAACTTAGTGGTCCAATATAATTGGCCACTTGTGAGCCAGCGTTTGCACGCATGCATCTCTGTTATCATTATGATGTGTGTATCACAGGTACGGCAAGACATCCTCAACTGTGGTCTCATGCCCAAGGACATCAGGCTGATTCGTAAAAAGGACACAGGTAATTATCCTTCGTTTCGTAACTTAAATCTTCCCCTCGACCTAATGTGCAAACTAGCGAACCGCTTTTCACCTCGGCAGGTTGCGTTAACTTCGTGTAGTCTAAGTTATTGCGGCATTTTGTAATGATCATCGAGAGAGAAAAATTGTTTGAAATTTTCAAACATTTTTTTTAATACCGTGAACAACAAAAGGATTTCAAACAATTTTTTTATCTTATTCGGTTAAGATCTAGTCTTATGTACCCTAGTTTTATGTCGGTACCAATCATGCATACTCCAAAATTATTCAAGCAGTATAATGAATATAATGACTATCAATTGAATATAAATCATTAATTCATTTTCTACTCTTGCAATAAGGTAAGTTCTATAACAAATGCAAGAAGAATATTTTGAGGGAAATCAGATCATCATTATTCATCTAGCAAGGGTGGTGTAAAACATTTATTAAGTAGTTTACATCCTTTGTATAAAATAATTAAAATGTATATCTGCCAACCAACTTTACTCGGTTGTTCTATCGTTAAAATAACGTTTCGAATCTCTGCAATAAATTTATATATACTCTATTGTAAGTTGTACATACACAGTCTTCTTTGACGAACATCTTGGTTTTACTATAATCCGGAGTAGCATATAAAAGAGTTTAGAAGAGATAATTGTTTTTATAAGACTCGTATTATTATTTCGTCGATTTATTTACGATAGTAAAAGAGAAAAAAAAAGGAGACAAAGAATTCGGTAGGTCTGGCATTAAAGTAAATGAAAATTCGCGTGTAAAAGAAAAGTACGATAGAAGTCGTCTTCCATCCGTTTAGAATTTGTTCTGCTGAGCTTTAGGCAAATGGAAAAGAAAGCAAGCGACGAAGCGAAGAAATACTTCGTTCGAAACTCAGTCTGTCAATGGTTGGTGCTGTGATTGCCTGCCCTCTCAGAGTAGAGACACCCAGGCAAAACGTGGATTAACTTTGGATATGTGTGTATTTGCTCTGTATAGGTGCTTCGCGAGGTTTTGCATTCGTCGAGTTTAACGCGACTCAGGAGGCCGCACGGTGGATGGAGATGAAACAGGTAGAAAGAAGTTCAGTCCAGATACCCAACCGATGCGTTGTACGCGTGCCATCGACGCCCCGTGGCGGCAAGGCACGGTAACGCAGCCCCCTGGCCTTCCCCATGGCCATGGCTGTGCACCTATCAAAAGGCTACTTCAATCTACCGTACCTAATTACTTATCTAGGAGTCCCCACATACTTTGCAGACTTTTCTTAACTCGCTCGCAATTCCGTCTATTGGATTAAAGTTATTACAATAAAAGGCCGCGCCGCGTGCTTTTTACCTATCCTCTATCTATCATAAAAGTTTGTGGACTAACAATGAAGATCGGAGGAGGGTCATTCCAATCGTCTTATCTTTTTGCGTACAGTGCATAGTATCCGGCATGATAAATTTATTTCTACGAATCACACTATTTTGCTATATTCATTCGATACGAAATGCTTACTTTTAATTACGTCATTTAAGTCCGCTTCTACCATTTAAATTCGTTCTCGACGCAATTACCCGTTGATCGAGCATTTTAAATGAATGAAAATTTTGTGCACGACTTTCTTGTTCACATATAAATTTTATATGCAAGCAATCATTGCGCGTTTGCTTGTTTCCACGAATTCAACTCATTGATCGAACCAAAAACGAAAAGAAAAAGTTGTCGCGCATGTACATAGAGTCCGGTCAGCAAGCCGTGTGGAATGGCCCACATTATATAAGCCCACGACATTTTCTTTACTGTTCGTTCGAGACGGAAAGCTATGAAGTAGAAAACTATAATTTCGTCAACCAAGAAGGAAGTTTACGGGATAAACAGAGGCTTTGGGAGGATGTTGGACGGGATAACACTGAAATTCTCTGTTTCAGGGAGTACTGATGCTGCAGGACCAATACCGTGCCTTGATGCAGTACAGTATACCGAAAGATTGCCATGTAGATAAACCACCAGCAAAGAACACACAAGATTGGCACTGTGTTAAGGTATGACTATTTAATCTTCGGTATTTCTTATCGAACAAACCAACCATTCCCAATGTTGCTTTTTTATTTCAGTGTGGCGCGCATAATTTCAAAAGACGCGAAACATGCTTTAAGTGTTCCGCCTCGAGAGCAGAAAGCGAAGAAGGTGGAGAAGGCAGCGACGAAATCAGCCCCCATCCTACAAATACCGTTCTTCTTCGAGGATTGGACGTGTTGACAACCGAAGATTCAGTCTTACAAGCGATGAAAAATCTTTCGTCGATGCCGATACGTAGTATTCGTATCGGACGCGATTCTCTTACCAACACATCGAGAGGTGTTTGCTATCTAGAAATGGGCAACGTAGTGGATGCCATGTATTTACACACGGCCCTCACCAAGCAAGGACTGGTGGTAGATGGCAGGAAGGTAGAGATCACGTACTGCAAACTCCACCAAATAAATAACACCAACACGTGGAAGGCAAACGACAGTCAACCGCAAAGATACACTTTAGATGATGTTGCTCAATTGGCAGAGTATAGTGCCAACTTATACGCTAAGACACCTGCACAGAAAGCTCACTATCTTCAGTATTATACACAATATTATCAAAATCAAATAATGCAAGGATCCGCGATTACGTTACCATCTTTAAATCAGACTGATAGAGTGAACGCGGCAGCTGCCGTAGCACAATCTGCTATACAGCAGTTACAAGCATCTAGAAAATTAGGAGATGCTGATGAAATGAAGAACAGACCAATGCCTTCGGCACCTACTAGTACCTCGTTAGCGAGTGGAAGAGTGCCTGCGCATGCCAGTGACGGTAAAGTATACTGTAAGTTTATATTAATGGAATAAATTATTCTAATTTCGGCTCGAAAGGTTTTTCCACTTTATTGATGTTATGTTGCAGCTGTACCAGACGTTAGTACCTATCACTACGACGAATCGTCTGGCTACTATTACGATCCGAGTACAGGATTGTATTACGATCCCAATTCGCAATATTATTATAATAGTCACACGCAACAATTCCTTTATTGGGATGCTGAGTCATTCTCATATCAACCAGCGAAGGTAATTAAAATTTATAAATTTTATATACATATCTATATGTATATATATAAGGTTGATCAGTATTTTAATTCCTTGCATTTATTTTGTGTGCGTATGTAGACCGCTACAACTGTAACGCAAGCAACAGGAACCACGACTAGTGGAACTACAATAACTGCCATCGCTAGTAGCACCGACTCGACAAACACAATCACCAATCAAGCTACAACTTCGACGGTTACCAGTGCGGCTCAAGAAATATCGAGGGAGGACGAAAGTAAAAAGAAAGATAGCAAGCAAGATAAAGTGAAAGTAGCGAAGAAAATAGCAAAAGATATGGAACGCTGGGCAAAGACATTGAATCAGAAGAAAGAAAATGCGAAAAGCAATTGGAATTCCGAATTTGCTGGTGGTGATGGTAATCAAGGAGTCGGGAGCGGGGCAGCGGACGCAGGTTACGCTATATTAGAGAAGAAATCCCTAGCGACCTCTTACCACGAGGATGAAGATCAGAGTGGTAACAATGGTTTGGTCGCTGCCTATGGTGGTGGTAGTGACACGGAAGAGGAAATAGAGGATGTTCAACAAGAAGAAAGACAACACACGGATTGGTCTAAATTAGCTTGTTTATTGTGTAAACGACAATTTCCTAGCAAAGAAGCGTTGCTTCGTCATCAACAATTATCCGATCTTCACAAACAGAATTTGGAGAACTGGTATCAAGTACGTGGGTTGGATCCGAACGACCCGCAGCAAAGAAATAATAAATATCGGGATCGTGCTAAAGAGAGGAGGGCAAAATACGGCGAGCCAGAGCCCCCTCAACCCAATAAACTTAAAGAAAAATACTTAAAGACTAGAGTAGAGGATATATCCGTATCTTACGAAGAACCCACGAGGGCTGGTATTGGTTCGGATAATGTTGGCAATAAATTGTTACAAAAAATGGGGTGGAGTGAAGGAATGGGACTTGGAAAATCTAATCAAGGTAGGACGAGTATCATCGAGGCGGAAAGAAGAGTTCCTACCGCCGGTTTAGGTGCAAAATCATCGTCGTATAGTGCGTTACCGGGGGATACGTACAAAGATTGCGTAAAGAAAATGATGTACGCGCGTTATCAAGAACTTTCAGACTCATAATATGCCGAATATCGTTGTACATAGATTTTATGTATACACACAAGTACTTGTACTCAATTTTTCCATAAATTGGATAGCTATGCTGGATACTATGCTGGTTGGTTGTGTACTGATAATTAAGAACGGTGATCATCCATTCTTGGAAATAGATTACATTTTTTTTTATATATATCTTTCCTATACGTTTTCATGATATTACTTTACTTCTCTATTCTAAGATTCTTAGAAAATAATAAATTGTAATGTTAGTTTTTGGACTCGCTGTTTTTTTTTTTCATTAGATTTTAATACATCCTTTACGTGATACTATTTAAAAAATGTATTTATTTGAAACTTTGTTCACGCTATAGTTTTCAGCTCTGCTTACTGTTACGGCACTAGAAACGAAGTGTGCTTATACGTTTGATAAAAACTGTATTGGCTTTTCATTTAAAACCCTACAGTGCTTATTTAAGAATGTACTATGTACAAGTATTAGTTACGAAATAGTTCGAAAAAAACTACCGCATCAAGCAATTCTTGTCTAAACAATTTTGTGCACAACACCAGTAAATTTCGTATTTCGAAAATTAAGTATATATTGATGCATTATGAATTAATTTCGGTGACAAAGGATTCGAAACTGGATTACCATTATGTGTTTTAATTTGCACAGTTTCGATCCAGTTTTACGATGCTTCCTTGGAGAATGTCAACTTATTATTACGGACCTAGTGCAACTAAACTTATCACTGGTGCATCATATATTTATTATACTGTCATCATTTGCATTAAATTTCATCATTTCTGTATGATGTAATTACGTCAGTTCACGACACACGCGCATACATATATATATATATAGAAAGAGAGAATTATATTTATACTCATACATATACACGTCGATCTTACTTTTTATTACGATTTACATCGTACTTTGAGATCACATTCTTCGTTATACATACACATTTCTACAATCACTTTGACACTTTACCGTTATTTTTTTAATTACACATCCAAAACCCATGTAATAAGTGATAGGTTAAAAGATGATAATAAAAATACACGCAGCATTATTGCTTGAAATACACTCGTGTTTCTTTCTAAGAAATCAAATCTCTTATAGTTTCGCTTTTTCAATCGATAGAAAATTTAAATACTTATATAAAGTGATATGTTGTCTTTTAAATATGACTATGAAAAAGATTCCTCGTTTTTTCAAGTAAAAGTTAAAATTATACAAACACAAATTCTATTACAAATTATACCTATACTATGTAAATGCACATACATACATAAATAATAGTTACGTGGTTCCAAGTATTTAAAATAAAATTATATATCACGATTTACAACAACTTTATCGTTGTACATGGCTCTTTCAAACCCCTAATACATATGTTCTCATTTATATTGAGACACTTGTACTTGTATAGTGAAATATTTTCGGTGACTCGAAATTTACTCTGTAATTAGATCTTTCTCTAGACGTACACAAGTACAAGCTTTAAAATTTGCTTATGTTTCGGTATATGTTTATCCAGTTAAAAGTACATACTTTGAATCACGACCAGTAATATAAATTCGAACATATATATGTATATATCGATTGCTTAGGTTACATTTTACATTTAATAATACGCGGACTTACTCTAATTTAATAATTTATCGTCTCGTATGTTACGTTGACGCTACATTTAAAAACAAGAAATTATATATTTACGCCATTTTCTTTTTCTTTTCAGTCCATATAAACGCAATACTCAAACACACCGAGTATTAAAGAACTAAGTTAAGAATACATTAGGGACAAATTGACGTGGTTATATCAATACTTTGATTTTTAGGCGTATCACTAGAGGAACAAACTACGAGTCTCTGTATGTATAAAGAAGTTTTGTACTATTAAACCTGCACTTGCTTGAAAAACTGACTTTTGTAAAGCACTGTATCAATTTAAACAGGAACGGAATTTAGGAAACATGTTTGCTAAGTACATGTACAAACCTCACGACATCAACGTTATTTAGTGTTTAAATAAATTACTTTGAACAGTTCGGTAAACTGACTATTAATAAATAAAAGTCTCAATATCATGGCAATCTCGTAGAATAGTAACATGCACTACTACTATTTCATGGAAATATCATGGAATACCTGTTGATATAACAAATTCAACAGATTATTTCTTCCATTACCATTTTGTCACAAAACTTTTACAAAATTTATCTTTGTTCAATATTACACTGGACAATTGTTTGTAGATATGAGCTTTCTTATTGTTAGTCTAAATTGCACTAAACATTCAAAGTCATGGTTATTTATAAAATAACAATAAAATAACAGAAAAACCACACAAAGACTAAACATCTGCTAAAATCCAAGAATATAGTGGCCTTAATTGATGATTTAAAACCCTGTACTCTAAATTGCTAATTCCATCAGTCTCATATCTTCTAGCACTAGTTTCTAAATTTTCAAATCTTGCACTGCTTGGAGGTTCTTTCTTATGTGTTAACATGTAATATTGGGCAATGTCAGGCCCAAAGCGACTGATCTGAAATTCAAGGTAAAATTTACATGATTTTAAATATAACACAATGTACTTATTTAACAATCAATTTACCTGAAAACCTCGTGATTGTAAACGACTATAAAAGTCGTCATCTTCCCCACCCCATCCGTAGAAAACATTGGAAAATCCGTTAACTCTTTCAAATTGTTTGCGAGTCAGTGCAATTGCGCCTCCAAATAAGCCAGTGTAAGGTAGATTATAACGGAATGTATTGACGCTTGAACTCATATGCCTAGGCATTTTTGTACAAGCATAAATATTGTCAGGATTCTGAGGTATAAGATCTATGTCTTGAAAGATGAAACAGTGAAAATCGTTTACTTTGGTTGCCTCTGTATATCCGACATTAAAAAGCTTAGCACGATTGAACTCGCGCATAGGACTTTGCTCTATCACAAATATTCTGTAATCGAGATTCTGAGCTTGCAGAAAAGGGTGAATGTAATTCATGAAGATGGCAAGTTGTGTTTGCCGATTTCGATATGGCAATATGATGGCTACGTTAAAGAGAGGATGACAATTAAGAGGCTTCCACTGTCCTCCAGGTAATATACCTAAACGACGCGCCATTGCCACTGGATCTTCTCGAGGATGTTCTTCGGGATACAGCAACTGAGCTGATCTTCTAGGATTGATCGTTATCATACAAGAGTTGTCTTTAGCGGGATAAGACCTTTCCATTTCATCGTAGATGTCTTGTGTTTTTATAAAAGTATAATGCGAAGCGAATCTAGCTGGATGTAAGCAGTAACCCAGTACCAGAATTGTGGTGATCGTGTATGATAATCCGCGCGCATAATCATAGAAAAACGCAACGAACATTTTCAAAATATTAACGATGCTTCTCATCCTAACCTTCGTTTTCATTCCCGATCAGCATCTCAATAAAATAAGCGAGTTATATCTCCCTCGAAGAAAGACTCTCATTTGTTGACACTAATGGTGACTCAACACTGTATCATTTTATCATGTAAGAGCACAATTTAATAATAGACAAGCGTACTTGTGTAAAATAATTACTATGAAGCACCGAAGTGCAGACGACAGTGTAAAAAGTAGCGTACACTCGCGCGCTTGCGCATCGCATATCTCAGCTGAAAGTTTTCAATTTGAAATGATTTTTTTAAATTATTAATCGTAAAGGTATATGACTCTAAAAGTCAAAGTATTTTTTTCTTATAAATTACAGATTCGATGGATAAATGAATGGCATTATCGTTTGATAACATTTTATTTGAAAACGTTACAGATTAAAATACTTTTGATTAATTTTCATCATTTCAATAGTTAAATGCTTGATCAACGGCATAATTTACGCATATAAATAAATAAAATAAAATAAAATAAAATTTGTGTATATAAATAGGGAACATTTACATCATATAGAATCTATATCCTGATATAGATTTCTCTCCTATAATATGCTATATTATATATTTATATTCTATTATATTATATTCGTCAATGAACTAAAATTGTGCGTGGAACTTGGACTGGTTTGCTCTTTGACTTTGGTATGTTCAGACGATTAAAGGCATCCAACGTGTCTTTCAGAAATTGATCCATCATCGATTTAGTATGCTTTGGAGTAGGAGCCAGCCTTAATTTTTCTTCTCCCTTTGGAACTGTTGGATAATTAATCGCTTGAACATAGTGACCTTTCTCCTTAATCAAAGAATCAGCTAATTGATTGCACAGTAATGGATCTCCGATCTGGAAAACAATTATAACGAATTATAATAATAGTGAAAATACATAGGAAATATAGTTTAAAGAAATAATTTACTTTTATAGGAATAATGTGCGATGGTGACGGTTCTACCGGAAGACCCGCGGCGGTTAAAATAGATTTCATGTAAGATACATTTTTCTGATGAGTAGCTCTTAACAATCTTCCTTCGTCCGAGGCTAAAATTTCAACAGCAGTCAAGGCACCGTATAATACCGTCGGTGGTAGAGAAGTTGTAAAAATAAAGCCTGCGGCATAACTTCTAATCATATCTATCAATTTTGTAGAACCAACAATGTAGCCACCGATATTGCCAAATGCTTTGCCCAGAGTACCAGAAATAATATCCATTTTATGAAGTACCCAATCTCTCTCTCCGATACCAGCACCCGAATAGCCATACAAACCAACAGCGTGAACTTCATCTACGAATGTCAAGGCACCGTATTTACGGGCGACGTCGCACAACTCTTCCAAAGGACATATATCGCCGGTCATAGAATGTACCGTTTCGAATGCCACAATCTTTGGCACCTTTTTATCTATTTTTGAAAGAAGTTCTTCAAGATGTTGTACATCGTTGTGCCTAAAGATATGTTTCGGTACTCCGCTATTTCTTATACCCTGAATCATAGATGCGTGATTGCCAGCATCAGAAAAAATATGGCAATCTGGTAAAAGTTTTGCTAACGTATACAGAGTGGAGTCATTGGCAACAAAACAAGAAGTAAATAATAAGCCAGCCTCTTTTTGGTGTAAGGAGGCTAATCTCTTCTCTAACATTTCATGACCAACCGTGTTACCAGATATGTTTCTTGTTCCTCCAGCTCCTGCACCAAATTTATCCAATGCTTCTCGAACAGAATTTGTTACTGCAGGATGACGCGACATCCCTAAATAATCATTAGAGCACCAAACAGTAATTGGCTTTGGTCCCCAAGAATATTCCATTGCAGTTGGAAAGTCCTGAGCCAGCCGATTTACTTTCTTAAAGACTCTATATGAATGATCTTTTTTCTTCTTGATGATTTGTCCATGAAAGAATTCTTCGTATGCGAAATTTGGTTCTTCAGTTGATTGGGGATTTACCACGTTAGTAACATCTTCTTCTACCACAGGGCTAGCCACTTTTACAGCGTTCTGTTCTTTAGCCAAAAATGGACATTGGCTCCCTATGACCTCCCGAGTCTGTAAAGTCTCGGTTGGCTCTTCCGCCGTATTGGAGAATTGAGACATATATGGGCAAAGTTGTCGATAATTCATTATGACAGATGCGCCATAATTGCGAATGTAATTCGCCGATAAGCGTTTTAAGAATGGGCACGGCATACTTTTTTGATTGCCTAAAACAGATTTAAAATTTATGTAATAACGGAATTACACTTGCCAGAGTAACGTGCCAGAAATGTTTGAAAATGATAAAAATGATGTCAAAATAATTTTTAAAGCAATAATAAAAAGTTGCAACCACGTTTCGGACCTAATATAGACGAGAAATCGAGGTCAACTATATAGAAAGCGAAGCAGCAGGTGTGTAAAAGAGAAAGTAAAATGGCAAATCATGATATTGATGATACAACATTTAAACCGGAAGTTTCTTACCTTTGGTAGCAATTGAAAAAAGATAAGAGCTGGCGTAATGGATACTCGGGCGAATAAATTGAAAGGCAAGAGATACTATTAAAATCCAGTTGAATATCAGGATGACGTAAATGCGGTGCTTGGCTAATAGCCAATTAAACTCAATTCAATCGGAGAAGAGATAAAATACTCCAAAACTCGACCTCACACTTTGACAGCTTAGCGACGACTGAACGTATTAGCTCTGGTAAGTCCGCTTATGAACATAAAGAAGTCGCGATAGGAGAGGTAGAACAGGACAACCAAGGACAACCGAGTATGACCTTATATCCGTTCACCGCACGCGGCTCACTTCCTTTATTTTTTTTTATTAAAATTCCAAGAATTGTACTTTAGTTTTTGACGTTAAAATTTCTCAGTAATTGTTATTAAAACGACTAAATATCCTGAGCTCAACGAACTTTAAATATTTGACGTTTGGATGTACAGATGTTTCATAAAGGAAAAAGAAAATTTATCAATCGCCAAGAATCGATTCCATATTGACTACTTTCTTTTTAGTAGAAGTGGTTACAGGCGGAAATTCTATTAAGTTACAGACACTAGAAATAGAATTTTGTTTACATAACGTGTTTGCTTGGCTTTGATCATTAATATGTCTATTCAGTGAACAAGGTCTCCCGTTAGTAGAACCAGGGCCGAATTAATGTATGGGGCTACAGTTCGAGGGCCTACGCCAGTTAAGAGACTTGCTTACGCGATAATATTAATCGATTATATGTTCACTGCAACGTACGCTTGCAATAGTCATTGTTTATTGAATACTCGATTTACAAATACTTCTAAATATAGTCACGTACAATTCAAGTTAAAATACTAAACGCGCCCTTAAAAATAAAATAATTCACTCAACTACTAAGTTTCAACTAAGTTTCTATCTAATTGTTTACGTAAAGATCGTTTCTATTCGAACGAATAATCACTTTGACCATCGACATCGTTGTTAATTCACTTCCTGTACGACTATCATTACTGACGCACGTCGATACCGGACATGCAAAGGAATACTTAAGCGACCATAAAAATAAAGTACGAACATTATACACGTAAAGGTCCTCAAGTGATTAAATTTAATACAAGGCTCTTAGACAGATGGCATATCGAATATCATTCGCATCGTTCGTTATATTCGTTTTTTATCGCTTAATAGTGCGATGAATTTTAAGTGTCTAGCGAAACACTTAAATATTTTTATATTCGAATCTTTTCGAGTTCATTCATAAGCGTTTCATGAACACAACTTTGGTATCGCTATCTCGGGGTTAAAAGAACGAACTAATTTTTGAACCTACAGCCCGAATTGGTAGTAAAAATAGTTTCTTTTTTTGTCGCTAGTTGGCGAATGGTTTATTACACCAGTGGCGCCATCGGTGTCAAAACGCCCAAGCTTGTAGTGAAAATAGTTCCCACTGTTGTTACTAGATGCCGCCACCAATACCTGTGTTCGATTACTTTTTATTTTTCATAAATTCATACTAATACGATTTCTTGCTTTATAACACTACTATGTATTATTTCAATAAGTCATTTAAACATTTATCTACTTTGCATACGTAAATGCAACAATAATTACCGACCCTTTATTTAATAGTGCCATCTAGGAGGAACAGTGGGAATTATTTTCACTACAAACTTGGACGTTTTCCCACTGATGGCGCCACTGATGCACTAAACCAATCGCCGTCTAGCGGCAACAATTGGACCTATTTTTAGTACATTCACCCGATATTTAAATTTGCGAAAAAGGTCCACACTACGATGAAAATATAGTTCAGTGATTTTATCAAGAAAATGTTCGTAGTTTGTTCGTTACCAGAACGAGCCACGAGAGTGCCAGAGCAGCAACTGAAGTATCAAAATGAATTTTTTTCAGGAATACCACTAAAAACTCTATTCTATTTCTCCCACCAAGTTGAAACACCGATGAAATATAACTTCTCATTGGTGGTTCGCTTTATCCTGGAATGATATCTTTCATCAATATATATAGTGTTTCTAAAATATTCACTTTTAAATGTCTTCGCACGATAGGTACAAGATTTCTATGATCGTAACATAGCTGGCCAGTACATTTATGAAATTCATACAAGTATTCTAAAACTGAATCATCCTGATATATAAAACCATATGAAACAAGACTGAGTACAATTGGTAGATAGTATGTAGTATACAAATATACAGGACACCCTTTACGGTTCACGATTACAGAATACAGATGCACATATCAAAGAAGGAACAGCCAATCAGAAGGCGACAGCACTTCGCGGGGTATCGTGTGGTGTGGTACACGACGTGTACTGCTGGGTTGGTTAACGTCTTGCAAAAGCCACGTCTTAGACGGACAGTGTCTTTCGAGGAAAGAGTGTAGCTCGAATTCAATTTAGGAACGTGCACCGTGCTCCACAATGGTGCCAAAGTATCTTAGCTTCCTTTTTCTGGTACTCGTTACCGTCTTAGCCGAAGAAAAAGACGTGCTGGAACTCACCGACGAAACCTTCAGCCATGAATTAGAACGGCAGGAGAACACGCTTGTTATGTTTTACGCACCATGGTAAGAAGCTTTTTATACGGTGATTATAGATTTCTAAAGTCGTGAATACGTTTCGTTTCGTTAATAGTATGATTAACGTGATAAAGGGGGAAAACGGAATGATTTTCCAAGTTCCGGTTTCGGTGATGTGCCGGCTTGTAACACGTTAACCAGCGACGTGCTCCTCGCTTTAGATGAAAAAGTTGGAGTACTATTAACCGCTATTCTTTCGTAATTCTCAGAGAACATTATAGAAGTGGTAATTAAGCCGCACGCTTAGATTACCTGATTAATATTTGTACGAATATCGTGTAATTCGCGATTTTATGTCACTTTTTCAGGTGTGGTCATTGCAAGCGATTGAAACCAGAATATGCTAAAGCTGCAGAGCTGCTTTTAGGCAGTGATCCTCCGATCACGCTCGCCAAGGTAGACTGCACGGAAAGTGGGAAGGAAACCTGTAACAAATATTCCGTCAGTGGCTATCCGACATTGAAAATCTTTTCCAGAAGTGATGTTGTAAGCGATTACAATGGACCTAGAGAAGCTGCGGGTATCGCTAAATACATGAAGGTATACAGAATCTTTGTAATAAATAAAATTAAATAAGTATCACGTGTAACTATATTCCATATATCTCAGGCACAAGTTGGTCCAGCATCTAAAGAACTGACTGGAGAGAACTGTCTGAAAGCATTCTTAAACACCGATGAAGTAAGCATTGTTGGCTTCTTTGAGAAGGATGATTCACCTTTGGCTACATCCTTCCATGCTGTTACTAAGAAACTTAAAGAAAAAGTCAGGTTTGCTCACACAACTGCAAAGGCACTTTTGGAAAAAGAAGGATATAAGTGAGCAATTGATTTTGTTATCAAAATAAAATGAACTAAATTTAACACAATTCTCATTATACTTTCATTTTAGGAATACTATTGTTTTATACCGACCAAAAATGTTGCAAAATAAATTTGAACCCAACACTGTTCAATTCGAAGGTGAAAATTCCATTGCTGATGTACAAGAATTTATTAACAAAAATTAGTAAGTTTCAATATAATCTTTTGTGTAGATACTTAAATGATAAACGTTTATTATAATCAAATTATTTAATTGTTTAGCTTTGGCATCGCTGGGGTTCGCACGCGAGAAAATGCAGCGGAATTTAAAAATCCATTGGTTGTTGCGTATTATGCTGTGGATTACTTGAAAAACCCCAAGGGCACGAATTACTGGCGCAACAGAATTATCAAAGTTGCCAAGGACTTCCCCAACTTAAATTTCGCCATATCTTCGAAAGATGATTTCCAACACGAATTGAATGATTTCGGAATCGATTTTGTCAAGGGCGATAAGCCTGTTATTTTAGCAAGAAACGCCAATAACCAGAAATTCGTCATGAAAGACGAATTTACAGTTGATGCGTTCGAAGCATTCTTAAAGGATCTCGAAGCGGACGCTTTGGAACCATATATGAAGTCGGAACCAATTCCTGAAGATAACATCGGAAATGTTAAAGTCGCGGTAGCTCGAAACTTCGACGAAGTTGTCACAAACAATGATAAAGATACGTTGATCGAATTTTATGCTCCCTGGTGCGGTCACTGCAAACAATTAGCACCTGTCTTCGATGAATTGGGTGAAAAACTTGCTAACGAGGATGTTGAGATCGTCAAGTTCGATGCCACCGCTAACGATGTTCCTTCACCTTACGAAGTTCGAGGATTCCCGACACTTTTCTGGGCACCTAAAGATTCCAAGGATAAGCCTGTTAAATACGAAGGTGGCCGAAATATCGATGATTTTATTAAATACATTGCCAAGCATGCAACCGATGAGCTTAAAGGATTCGATCGCAAAGGCAAAGCTGTAAAGCCTAAGAGCGATGAATTGTAGATTTCACTCGTAAAAATATGCGTGATACGTTTACAATATTTTTATGTCTCAGCAGCAAAACGTGGAATGAAATTTTCGAGGACTTGAAAGTGTGACAAGAATGGCATTTTAAATGTAAGGTCTAATCATTTTTTCTAGTTCCAGAGACAGGTTTGAATGAAAGAGAAAGACCCTTGGTAACGCGTGGCTGCACTTACTTTACGAATTATTTGAATGCGAAGTGAAATGTAATTAGCATAGAATTGTCTACATGTATTATGGTAATATTATGGTATTGCGTAAAACTATGCAGAACTGATTTAGAATTACCGTGGCAATGTTTTCCAATTCATTGAACTACATTTAAGAAATAAGTCTCCATTCCAGTTGCCGCATTTCACTATGCTAGGTTGAAGTTAATACAATAATTTTTGTTTATACAAAGAATAAAATGTTTTATATAAAATTTTATGCATTGCAATCAACGATACTCCTTGTTAAAATAATTATACTCTTGAAACTTCCCAATATGCAATTTTTAGGGGACATTTGGAAACGGAAGAAAATTTTGTTCAATAAAGTTTGTAAATAAAAATTGATAGTATACTTGATATGTTTATGTATGATCACGAATTCCATTCGAATTCAAGGATATTAACAATGATATGAAAAAACATACCGTTTAAATTTTACGCACAGTGAATCATCCCGACAGCAATTTACAAATATCGATCAGTTTTATTGTTAAATACAATTTATTATTATAGCAATCGTGGAGTAAATACCTTCTTACATATAAAAGCTAATTAATTGTAGAGTGATTTGCTAGAACTCGAAAACCTCACTTGAATTCGTTTCCCTGGTAATAATAAAAAATAATTTTCACTTCCGGTATCACTGAAGGAATACTACGTACAAATTAGTTTTCGCTTTCGTAAGTAACTTCTTATATTAGTTAGCTGCACGACTAATTACAACGTCGTCTCAAGACTAAATAATTTTATGGGACTGCGGAGACTTAGAAGACATTTCCTTTTTTCACTCTTGTTTGCCTGTGTATATATAATAGCATGAAACCAAAATGACAATACACTTACTACATATATTGCTCGCGACATTATTATGAGAAAATTCGGAAAACTGTTCGTATTTTTTGCCTCGTCTTATTTAAGAAGAGTGAGTTTATATACAGCCTATATCCCATATGGACCAGCACGTGTGCTCGAAACAATACAAATATTTCGTTTATCGCTTACCTTCTTTATTTCGTGCATAAGTATGAATTTAACGAATACTATGACTCACACGAGCTATCGTCACTTTGATCTTTGCCATACGTACGTAAAACTTTAAATCTCAGAACTTTGTGCAATTAATAATAATTAATCTCTGTTATAAAAAATGTCATTAGTTTGTTCATTTTTTGTTTGCTTTCGTTAGAGATTCATATTATGGAAAACTCAGTCTCACAGGCTCTTTTATTACGAAAATCAAGGCGATAATAATATCTAAGAAAAGCAATTCGTGCATCGATATCGTTTGCAATCCCATAGCAGTTCCTTATAAAAATTGTAGTAGAGTCGTTTGTACAAATTTTTAGCAACATTAGAGAGAAATGGTCCATAAAGGATTAACCGATATAGTCGTAATTAACAATATATCCTTCAGAAATTATTACGAATGAATACTTGCAAACTCTGCGACGGATATAAAACGTAGAAGTTTTAGTTCTAGATATTAGGGTATTTTTGCCGACCATTTGTTGGTTAACACTTTGACAATTAGTTTCCAAAATGCGAATGGGTATTATTTATTCAAATATTATAAAAAATGCTCACTGAACTTCGTGCTTCAAAGTGTTAACCAATGGCTCTCGTTTTTCAATACTTTTGTTAATCAATGGCAAATAAAATTGATGGTTGCTGCAAAGTTTGACTGCGACTTCGCAGTGTTTCGGTTAAAAGCGTAATTCAACAGTAGTACTGCTATGTAATTGTAAAAAAAAATTTGTTGAACACAATTCCACAGTCATTCATTGAATCAATGGCGGAGACTGCATTGCAGCCGTTAATTCAATAATTCTTGCAAAAAACAACTAGCTTATAAACCTTAGAGATTAGTTTTAATAGAAGACGTGTAAGTTCAAGAGTTTAGAATAGTATGTATACAATTGAACGAGAAACAAACTATAAGGGAGGAAAGCACAGGATGATTCAACAGGCTAGATAATCATTTTTACAGAGTAACTTGAAATTCGTAAATTAATCGACATTTTGAGAAACAAACATTACTTTCGATCAGAATAATTTTGAAAAGCATTTGCTCTGTGAAATTTGTTCGCTCTAAATTAATAGAGTAACCCGACAAACATTCCGGGATTACATTAATCGTATCGGATAAATTTGAAAAGTATCGCCTAATAAAACGCACATCAGGGCATCGTTTGTATGCTTGATTGGGTACAAAGGATGTGTTGTCGAAATACATAAATATAATATATCCGCTGTTATAATCCGTAATGTTAGTGTCATCGTATTACAATAATAAAAATAATTAATAATAATAATAATAATTAATAATAATTATAATAATAATACATTTAGCCTAGTTGGTATTCTTATAGATCAAAGTGATCCGGTGGTCTACTTACGCATTTTTTATAATTATAATATAATGTTTGTTACTTTTTTTTTGTTTAAGAAATATCGATAATGCGATGGTTCAATAAAATAGCGACGCAACATTTGGAATTCTTAACGTTTTGCTTTAAATTCTTACATTGCTTTCTATGACTTTGCATTGCATATTATGTTTCTACTCTCCCCTTTCACCCTTTATACTTTGTTACGAATTCCCCCAACTCTGTCGTTCGTTTCTTCCATATATTTTCTTTTATTACCAAAAAATAAACAGCCACTACGATTTAAAAAAAAAAAAAAAGAGATGTAGAATGCATACAATAGTAATGAGATACTAATAATAATAGTAATAACTACTATAATGATATAGATAATTATGTACCGTAAATGTAAATAGTTGGTATGACAATTGTTTAAACTCGAAGCACAATTCATTACCATTAAAAAATACAATCAAGTAGTCATTACAATATACATTATGGTTTTCATATATAGCACATAAACTTGTATTGAATTTAGTCAACGTTTTAAGTCTCCGGTTTCATCAACGACAGTTCTTTTTTAATATTGCGGGCGCGGTTTGTGGTTGTTTTTCTTTCTTTTAATATATATATATATATATATATAGATTTGTTTTATTGTGTAAAATAAAGATAAGTTGTTGTTATATTATGGTTTCCGCTGGGGGCCTCCGAGCATAACAACTAGCTTCATTGCAGCTAGCTCCGCAATTCCATTATTTAGCCCGCTATCAGGCTCGCTTGGCATTTTACTTAAAGAAGCCAACATCTTCCCTTCTTCTTCTTCTTTACCTGTGAATTTAGATAATTGTTAAAAGAACGTTTCATAAATACTGGCGCGAAGACGAAGGACGAACAATACTTACTTGTAACGCAGCTCGGGTGGCTGTTTCAAATACTTCCCTAATACCTTCCTTACTCTTAGCAGAACATTCAAGATAAGCAAAAGCGTTGATTTTCTCAGCCATGGCTCTACCTTCCTCTGGCTTTACTGGTTCCTGTTTCATCTTGCTAAGTTCCTTGATGGTATTTGGATCATTGCGCAAGTCTTTTTTGTTTCCAACAAGGATAATGGGCACATTTGGGCAAAAGTGCTTCACCTCTGGTGTCCATTTCTCAGGAATGTTCTCCAGGGAATCGGGACTATCGATTGAGAAACACATTAGGATTACATCCGTGTCAGGATACGACAATGGGCGCAACCTATCATAATCTTCTTGTCCAGCTGTGTCCCAAAGAGCCAGTTCCACCTATTATAGAGAACATTTTTAAGGAATTTTAATCATTCGTTTGAAAAGAAGAAAGAAAACAGCTTGAGCATGTGAAGTAATTGTTTTGACAAACATACCTGCTTCCCATCGACTTCAATGTCCGCGACATAGTTTTCAAATACCGTTGGTACATACACTTCGGGAAACTGATCTTTGCTGAAGACTATGAGTAAGCATGTTTTACCACAAGCACCATCACCCACGATAACCAATTTCTTCCTAATGGCTGCCATGAATTCTAAAATGATAATAATTACATAATCATTTATTACTACTCCATTGCAATTCCGTATCATTAAAATATTTAATTTTATGCACTTAACTCTGACTTTTACAAAATATTTATTAACGAAAAAGCAAGAAATACACAAATGTTACACATTAGTGACAACATTTTGCTTAAATAATATATAAATCTTTAGAAATTGTTATACCGATTACATAGATAACATATCAGTTTTTTACAGTATTGTCCTAATAACTTACCTATGCACGAATTCTTTATAACACGTGTATTCACAGCATATTCCACTTATTAAACTTGAATAGGTACTGTATTTATCATACTATATTTCTTGCCTGACATGGCTAGTGCATACAAAGTGTACACCTAACTTTTATTTAAGTGTAAAACAGGAAAAGTGTGAATTTATAATTTCTAATGCTTTTATCCTATATATGCAAATAAGTATTCATATGTGTTTTTAAGTTACAGAAACTATTAAGAAAATCATATTCTATATATTAACAATTTCTAAACTGCACTCTTACGTAGCACAGATGTAACGAATACCTTAAAAACTATTGTAATCCTATTAACGATTCTAAATCAACCAAAGTAACATCATTTGGGAAACACCACCAAAAATTATTTCAACTAAGAGCATGCAGCAAGTGAGCGTATAGTACACATAAGGTAATCATAACTTAATAGGAAACACAAGGAATGCTGAAAAAATGGATTCAATATCACCGTTAAAGGAGATTATTTTTCCTGCACCCAGATGAGGCACAAACAGCAAAGATGGTAAAAAAGCAATTTTAAATAGACAGATTCGATAGCATAAGAAGAGATACAAAAGGAACAATGAAAGAGACTGAAAAAAAGCATTCTTCAGGATAGAGTTAGGAAGAAGTCAGGGTAATCTTTTAAAACTGTTTGTATTAGATTTGCTTTCTGACAATGCTATAAACAACGACTCGGATTCAAACCTCGTAGGGTATAAAAATTGTTCCCTAAAAGTATTGATGTCACATATTCTTAAATAAAGTATTATATTAAATTGGAATTAGCATTACATGTGTGTATAATAGCATACACTTCCTAAGCCCTCTGGTTTACTTAAATTTACATTACTAAAACTTGTGTCTAATCTCATTAATGCCAGCTACTGATATAGTGGGTATCGTAAGTAAGATTTTTTTTTCTATGTCCGACGTCTACTTTAATACTATTTAGAAAGCGACCTACGAGGGCTGAAGATTTAAAGGATATTGACTGGGTCGTACCTGATCCAGGGTACCCCGTATCGTCTGGACCGAGGCATCGGCCCGCATTGCATCCCATGTTTTTAGTCTTTCTTTCAGCTTCTCTGTTTTAAGTGGACATTTTATATGTTAGAACGGATAGGAGGTTGCGAGATAATTGCACGTACCACGTAGATATCATAAATATAAATATATATGCATATATCTCGTTTTTATCATAGCTATGTACTTAAACATCTGTAAAAGTATTAAATACAATCTATGATGATTTAATGTATGATGCCTTTGAAATTTGATTCTTAACTCTTTCCTTCCGATATGTGAAAATGTGTATACTACAAGGTTTTGCATGTCTGCTGAAGACTAAATATAATGTGGATTTAATGTTAACATAATCAATGACCTTGTGTACACATTTATATAAAAATTGACACAATTTTTAATTGCATAAGGTAGAGCCTTTACATAATAATTCTACATAAAAGACTATGTATCTTTGCTGCCGTTTAAATATCTTAGCAGAAAGTCGAACTTTTTAAATAATAGATAAAAATTTAATTTTTAATTTAATCTTAGCCCTAAGAACAAAGATAGCATCAGACCATACCTTATGCCTCAGAGCAAAATAACATTGTCTCCAAAGAACATGCATGAACATATAAGAACAATATTTCCTTGTATTAAACATGCACTAGTAAGAAATGTGTGAACCCATTAAAAATTATTTTTGGGAAGCATAAATTAAATGCGATAGGCATTACATTCACATTGTACAGAGATAAGATGCTTTGTAAAGTTTCATAATTATAGAATATTCATTGACAAACAATCACATGTATAAATTACTATGTGTATATTCATAAAAATATAAAATGTCATAATGTATGCTGGCATTACAGCTTTTTTAGCATAGAATTTAGTTTCTTCAATGTTTTCATTATAATACAAATATGGTTTAAAGTATACTCTTAATACTTTCAGGTATTTGTTACTCATATGTTACATAGATTCTAAGTGTTAATGTACAAAGGAAACAGAGTGATTACTTCTAGCTCCAAAAATTTCTGATAAGAAAGCACAAATAACTTGTTCCTTACAAATTATTTTGAAAGATTATCTTTTCATATGATGAAGGTTGAAGCACTTAGTAACATTTTGCATGAAAGCAAGGATCTTAGCATCAAGTACTGTCTAATATGCAAAAGCAACGCAGATGAATAGAAGACTGTACGTGTCAATTAAACAAGAAGTGCTATGTATTAACATTGCTGCAACACAATTTGTACAAACATTAAACTCCACATAGTTGATAATGGTAAAACTGTTTGTCACATACAATGGTCAAAACTTTTACCTTGATAACCCAACAAATCCCTAATACTTTTTGTTAATTTTCATCCACCTACATAGTATAAATTATTGCGAACAGTATATTATTCGGAAATCTGTTCTACATGAAATCTTAAATGAAATCATTTGGAGGATGACTAAAGCAAGAACAGAAAATAGATGTCGGATAAAATGTATTCTCTAACTATGGTTACAGAGTACTCCGTAACATCATTTTCCAATCGAAAATATGAAAAATATGGGGGAACTCTGTAGGTCCCTCTTGATCTTCAATGTGCCAACAACATGGCTCTGTCTTTCTAGGGTTAAACTATTTTAACCCCGATTAATGAGTAATACGACACGATTAACTCTAAAAGATTATAAATTACTGATTTATGATTGCAAATTATAAATGTAGCTTATGATTTATCTGAGAATTCCGAGAAATTATTAGAAATATTGCTGGCCAACTCTGAATACGCGGAATACTGCTCAGAATGGAGAGAAATCCGACTCCTACCGTGTTAAAAGAACGTACCGACCTTTTGTTTATCGCAGATCCGAGACGTCGTTGATGGGGTGAAAAACGTCGACGATGCCCGTAGACAATACAGTACAGAGGAATGTCAAGACGAATCTGCGATACCGATCTTTATTCAAGTTTCCAAAGGAGAGACTCGCAGAGCTTTTTGCCGAAATTTGCACAGCCGGAAGTGCATTGCCGCGTAACGGGGTAAGAGGGCAGGGAGCGAGAGGGGGAAGACGGTCCCAGAGGGGAGGATGGGGGCGCTGGGGGTGCGACAGGACAGCGACGCAGGGGTCTAGAGCCTGGGAGACGATTTACTTACTGAACTAAAACCCAGGTCGTATCGTAAGGCTCATACGAGCATTTCCAAATCAGCGATCGAATTCAGCCGCGAGGAGACAGCGCGTGGCTTCTTCTATGCTAAACTAAACAGTCATCGTGCGAAGATGCCGTGGATTCGTAACGCATGGCACTCCCTCGGCCCTCTCTCTATCACGGGAGGAGGAGAGGTTTTTTTTCCCTCCTTGACACACAGTGTTCCCGGTCACGGAGTTAACAAACCGATCACGCGTCACGCTTAGAACACCCGGACACACAGCACAACACACCCTCGCACCACTCCAACCAGTATTACTTAAGAAATAATTGCGTATTTACCTGAAATGTTAAGCGACAGAAAGTCAAGAAAATGGCTGCCCTCGATGGCCACACCTCAATCTGTTGAGTGTGCGGCAATCGAGTAGTGGGGGGACACTATACCCAGGACCGTAGCGACACCTCCGAACTCCACCTGCCGATATCGCGGAAAGCCTTCGGACCTCGAGGTTATTTTTTTTTGTAAACTATATGATCCAACATATGTTCTATTTGTCGAACGATACACGCTGGAGAAGGTAGGCATTCCTTTCCTATTGATACGCGACAGCAAAAATTACGGATGTCTTATATTTTTATTATTTTTGCTTTCGCTTATATAAAAAATGAAAATATAAATGTAAAACCGATGATACTAGGCTTTTAGGTTTTATATGCATTCGACAGTTGTAGCTAATTGCAGTCGTAACGATACTTTCAAGCCTTCGATATCGGCGATATTATCTAAAACTGTCAGTTGTACGAAGAAAGAAGGTAGGAATGCGATCATTGTTCGCTTATCGATATATCTATTGCAATGTGATTTACTTTGAACAATGAAAAAATATTTTGCGCGTCCACCGATGAAAGATACGTTCCTGGGCAGTACTCCGAAACCGGCGAATCATGCGCCACCCGCGCACGTCCCGAACCTGTGGAGGGACTTTGCGCACGCATCGTGTTTCTCGGATGTATTTGTGGGTGGATGACGGAAAGGGTTGGAAAATATGTAAATAATGCTGCACCGCAATATCGTTGCTCAGCGCCCCTGGTACGTAACACGTGAAAATCACGATACTAGTCGTACAGTCGCGAAACGGACGAAAACATTCCATGAAACGTTTCGTTTTTTTCTGGTTAAAAAGAAAAATATGGAAATTACTTCTCCCGACTATCGTGCCTTCGATAGAATAAACGTTATCTTTCTTGGAAGACAAACACATCGAGATTGCGCGATAGATATAACGTATGTTCACACGCGTTGCGATCGGTATAGTTAACCAACACTTTGGGGTATCGCACGAACAATGCAGATGCGCCTGAAAAATTAAATTTAGCCGATGCGAGAGAAAAGACAAAAAAAAAATATACCTTTTGTATCGTAAATTCAGTGAAATTGCTGTTTTACACGTGTATATTTCACGTGCAATTCGATGATTTCATCGGGACTTCAAAACAGACATATTTGATATGGTATGGTAACAAAACTTACCGGCAAAGAAGTCTCTAATGGGCGATTATGTTCATCTGCAGAATCAAACAGTGTATGGGATTTGGGGTCTTTCGTAAATACGTATTCACGCGCACATATTGAAAATTATTGAAATTAGAGCACGAAATATAAAAATGTCCTGTGTGTTTACACGCGGGCTTTGTAACGTGCCAAATAAGAATGATGTCACTGTATGACGCACGCAGAATTGGCGTCGCGTGCTACGATAGGTTTAAAAGGATACACCGTGCATGAAATTCAAATTTTTTAGTATCCTTGTTTCGTCTGCTTCGATAGGGCGTAAACTTACATATTTTCCTAAAATTCATAAAAAGTTGCTAGAAGAATTCCGTTTATAAAAAAAAGTGGACAAGTAAAAATAAACAAAAAGATGTTTCCTTCGACTTTGCACACTCGAAAAAATTCTCTATAAACTATTGAATATTTTTACATTATCTATTATTATTGCATACAATTTTAAACGTGCTTTGATTTTACATATATTATGGAAAAAACGTAATCGAGTTATGTTAAAATAAATTGTAAACATTATGAGCATACATATTCAAAAAACAAGTTATGTTTTATTTGATAAGTAAGTTATACATAAGTTTTTATATTGTATATATATGAATGTTATTTTAACATGGTAATGTAAGTTAATTTGAATTATAAGTTTTTTCTTAGCATATTAAAAAATGACAGACATCATCCTGTGACTATTCTATGTTTCAATTAAATTTAGTTGTTTCCATTTTCATAGGACCTTTATAACAATTTACGATCACAATTCTTTTAATTCTGTTGCGGCGGTTCAGGGTCGTTCGGATTTCCTCCCATTTGTTGTCTTATAGATTCAATCGTTTCAGGGTTGGCATTCCGCATCTGTTGTGCTAATTGCAAGCCACTAAAAATTTATTAAATATAATCTACTTGCATGAATTACTATACAGGGTGGCATGTAATTCATTGCATGTTTTTGAGAGTAATAAAGTGGAAATATAACTTTTGTAAACGATACTTACGTTTCTAAGAGTACTTGCATACGTTGCCTTTGTCCTGCATTACCACTTACAAAGTTGCTTACTGTATTTTGCATAACTGGATCGGATAGCATTTGTTGTGCCATATTCATGATAGCAGTATTGTTCAAGAGTGCACTGAAATCCATGTCTAGAGGTAAATCTAGTCCTATACGGTTTGAATTCTGCTGTGCTAATTTTTCTTCTGCAACATTCAAATTATTTTTATAACTTTCATTATCAGGCTCCATTTCCAAAGCTTTCTCGTAGCTGTCTCTAGCTTCTTTATGCTTCTCCAAACTGGAGTATGCTAGGCCTAATCGACCATATGCTTTACAATAAGTGGGATCAATAGATAATGCAGTCTGACAATCCTGAATTGCTTGCTGGTGACAACCAATTTTGCTATACACCGCTGCACGGTTACAGTAATATACTGCATTGCGGCCATCTAATTGAATTGCCCTAAGTGAATAATATTATATGATTAAAAATTATACTTGCCAAAATATATTTGTTTGTTCTTTGTACTTAAACATAAATTATATACTTTGTATAACTAGCAAGTGCTTCCTGGTGTTTTTCAGCTTTCATGAGAGCATTTCCTTCATTTTTTAAACGTTCAGCTGCGGCTTTTGCTTCGGGTGTAGCTTCAGGTGCAGTTTGTCCAGCTGATTGGGGTTTTCCATTTTTGACGATAGATGTATATACTTCTTGTAAATTAAAATTTTTTGGTGTATCGGATGCCTGTATATTATAAGCGCTCTCTAAACATTGTATCGCTACTTCAAGACTCTCTCTAGAATCTACTGTAATGTTATTAGCCTTTAACTGCTGGGTTAAAAACTGAACGATCGCTGCTATCAGCCCCTTGTCAGCCATCACTGCCTCGAAGGAACTGTTACGTCTAAAATAATATAACATCGATGTAGAATATAAAACGTTTAGTGACATTTTAACAGAACATTTTCTGTTACGTGTCATAACCTCAAAGTAGATTTCTAATTACGAATCATTTTTGATAATGAATCGCTTTGATTAAAGTAAAGGATCAACTTCTGTTTGATTAACATCATTTGTAATAACACTGCCAATGTTGTATTAGTAATCAATTAAATGTTTTATAACGTCGATTCATCGTGTGTTAACATAACCAATAAAACATGCCGGATAAGACGAGTAATAAATAGAATTTATTATATGTACTTATGAAATGTAAACAATTTCACATTAATACCAATATCTTGTCTACCTTGATCGAGTTAAATACGTTAAAATATATTATCAATAATGAACTGCTCGTGACTAATTAAAGGTAGAAAAAAAATTGTCCACTTCGACAGAACGATGGACCGAATCACTGACAGTCGCAAGTCGCAACGCAACTTTATATTTTCCGGAACAAAAAGCAGATTTATATGTCTGAATGTAGGTACCTTAAAAGTTCAGTACAGCAACAACGAATAACTTCAATGTATTTCAATGGCTTCCACTTCCACTTCTTTGAAATCGGGAACTTAAACGCTTCGTCTATCTTCGGCTGAAGATCTCATGCAACGAGTATTATATGTTCTTTAGAGGTTTGCTTTGCTCGTATTTCCTTACTCTGATTTAATCCCATCTATTCATTTCTTGATTCTACTTCGCGTAAAATGAACAAATTAAAGCCCAGCCGTCTCGTCGCAATCGCGCTGGCGCAATTCAGCTGATACGAAACCTCTGAAATGGAACCGTCCAAATTGCTGCTCGGCTGGAATATCTCATTAACATAATAAATAAGTACCGTTTAGGATTTGAATGTCGCAAATGTAGTATGAATATATATAACTTTCAATACGCTTTATATTATATTGCGCATAACATATGAGGGATATATTGATTTATAAACAAGTATCGCGTGTTAACAACGGTAGATAAATGTGCAATCTAAGACTATAATACAAATTTTAATGCGGCCCCTGTTGGACGATTCGCAATATAGTGCTATTGGTACTTGTTCCCGTAAAAATGTAACGACTTCCGGCATAATAGAACGGTACCATCGTTTGTAGATCATCCATCCGATGATGTACTCGCATTTGGAATTTCTATAAATGATAACATCGTAAAGATGGAAATTAAATCAAATAAAAACGTATTTACATATTTTATTAGTCGATCGAATCGAAACCTACCTGAGCAAACATGTACTCGTAAATGTAAAACTGGTCATTCTCCGTCGTAACAACGACGAAAGAATCGCTTTCACCGAACGCTAAAATAAATTATAATACAAAAGAAATAGTTGGAAAACAAAATAATTTCACTCTAATACTAATGTATTATTCTTACCATCCGCATAGAAACATTCGATTCCGTTAACTCTCGAATCGTGGAAAAGACTTTGATAATTGTTAAAGTTATCAAAAGCTAAATCGTAGTGGAAAATGTTTACCGCGTTTGTATCGTAATCGTCTAACAAAATGAAGTGATCCTCTTCTTGAAACAGACTCTTCACGTTGCGCGTTCTGCCCCCAAAAGTCCTCAACAATACGAACTAAAGAAGATGCATCTACGGTTGCCGTCGAGGATACTTTTTCATAAGAAACAATTGCATTTTTCTTACCTTGGATGTAGTTGCATCCAACCTATACAAAAAAGACTTTTCAGAATCTCCAAAGCAACCCAGGAGTATATATACATTGCGGTGGTTTGTTTTAAAGACTTCAATATCCCAGGCACCGTCGGTGGGAAGTTTTTGGTGTAGCGACGTGACGTTATCCTTGAAATCAATTTTATATATCACGGAATCTGTACGGTGCGTTGCCCGCAGTGCATCGTAGTAGATTGCCAGGATCACGTAAGCTGCATCTGAAAGCACAGAGATAAATACCGAAGAGTTTTTCGTCTTTATCGTCTATTAATTAAGTAGAAGAGAAGTTTCTAGACTGCGGATGTATTGGGTTGTCTGGAAAGTCCATGTCGTTTTTGTGGAGCTAAAGGTTGTGGAACTAAATGTTACCTACGTAATTCAATAAATATTTATCAAAATGCAAACGTGTGTTTGAATTTTTCTTAAGAATTGGCATGAACTTTTTGGACAACCCAATAAAATATGAGTCTATTCATTACTATCGTGTGTCATGAAGACTGCTGCATCTTTCACGAATTCTCCAGTCCTGAAAGTCGTTTCTTTCGCATCTACCAACAAGTCTCCCGTATCCAACGTTCCAGATTTCATCCAAGAGATCCTGAAGAACTCGTCCTCGGTTCTATTTGAGGTACATTCAGGGCTGTACGAGACTGCATTCGTGATTACGTTTACACCGAATATACTGTGCAATTCGTGATAATTCCTCACTATCTCTGAACCGTTCGTTCTCCACACGCGACAATCATTTTTCGTCAGTTCGGCTACATATTCCGTTGGGCACGAACAATTGCGAGGAAGTCCGCAGATAAGTCCCGGTTCTTCCCCTAACATGTTCAGCTTCGTTATTTCCTCGTAATCCGCAACGTCCACCGTTTTGATGTTGGGCACGTGAATCTTCAATCCCTCCTCCACCTCTAAATATGAGAAGACGTTCCGGAGCGTTTCAGAAATCAACGTGGACTGTACGATCCTGTCATCCAATTCGGTTTCGTTTCGCTTCAAGGTTCGCAGCATCTCGTGTGCCTCTTCTTTCAAGTCGTCAAGAATCGTATGTAAATTCATCCCGTTCACCAGGTTCGAAACAGTTACGTCTTCCGGAACCCTGACTTCCGACTCGAAAATCTGCGAACACGTGAATATACAGTAGAATTGATTTCACAGATCAAACTGTGATTTACAACCTCTCGAAAGAAACAGTCGACCTCACCAAGTCTCCAATTATCTCCACGTCTTCGTCGTTTTGTACACCGTTCTCGTACTCCAAAGATATGTTGACTCCATTGATCAACGACGCGTAAACGTTACTATTGACCACGACATCCTCTTCGAAGGTCTTCGCGCCGAATATGACTTGAATTTCTTCCAGCCCGTTGATTACCAAATCGGAGGTATGTATTCCGTTGATTCGAGTGACGTTCGCGTTTCCTAAAAGAAACAATTTTTTAAATATTTACAATATTTTTGTCCAGGTTTTCGCGATTTCAAATCAGTATGCGACGTTGCAAAAAGCTTTGCTGCGTCGGTTACAAATACAACATCGAACCTGTTACTTCAACGACGCCGTTGAATTGCACGCCGCCAAGTATGTCGTGGTCTCCATCGAGGGTTACGCGATCTTTTACGAACTCGTCGAAGTCTATACCGTCTAGATATTTCAAGGCTACATCTTTCAACACGACGAGATGTTTAAATGATACCTTAGAGGGTAGAGTATCGGTCGCCAGAACTAACTTCTCCAGAGGTACATCGTGGACGTTGTCGTTCGCGAGCATCTCGTTGATGGCCACTTCTTCGAGGAAAGTTACAGGGCCGGTTATCGTTTCATCCTGATCTTTCCTAACTACGGCGCTATTGAACTCGAGAATATCGACGTTATTAATCACAGGAATCTCTATATCGTCGGTCACCGTCAGAGTATCGATAAATAGGTTCTCCTTGAAGACCTTTCGTCCAGCCACTTGGACGTCTTCATCGTCGATTACTGCGTCGGTCACGATATCGCGTATCTCTTCGATTTCTTTCCATGATGCCGTTAACGTTGACATCGTTACACCATTTTTAAAGACCGTTTCACCGTGGATAGTTTGATCGATGGTCTTGCTTACCGCGTTTTCGAATAGGAACGTCAAAGACCCAGAATTCGACGAAGGAACAATCCAAGTGATATTTCCATTTACTTTTAAATCGTTGATCCTTGTTGCCTGCACGTCGAGCAAGTTCTCGTACAACTGAAACAAAGAATTCATCGAGATTATATTGCTCCTTTTGGAAACAAAGGAGACTTCCGTAAATAAAGGTTTTAAACCGTACTTCTTCAACGTCGCGGCCGTTCAAAGTCTTCGTTAAAACGTTTTCCACAACTAGATCGTCGAACGTCACGTTTCCTGCTAGAAACAGAGGCTCGTCGATCCACATCAATTGAGAAGTACTTCGATCGTTGATGAACCTAGCTTCGACGTTGTTGCTAGTAATCGCATAGAAAGAGAATTTTCCCGGTATAATTTGTTCCTTCGACTTTGACAAAAGATTCTGAAAGAAATTGTTCACGTTCCGACCGTTCAGAGACCTCATCGTGACGTTCTGTACGATCAGCTCGTCGATCGTCCTTTCGGTGTCGAATACAATGTCCTGTGTAGCCATATTCTTTAGATAAATTTCGGTCGGCCGATCGTCGATCCGTTCTACTCTCAAATCACCCTTCACCGTCAGGTCACCTTCTATCACCAGGTGCTTCAAGTCCCTCATATTTCTCAGCAACGCGAACTTTTCCATTTCGATACCATTGAACCTCTCAACTGTAAGATTCTCAGCTCGAAACTCTGGGATCTTTGAGAAATTCGCTGGCTGGGTTTTCCGAATATTCCCCGCGTTCTCCAAGAACGTGGTACCGTCCATACCGTTAATGAAAAGAAATTCGAGCTCGTCTACGTTCACTTGCTTTGCTCGAATCGTCGAGAAATCCATGCTCTTTGGAAAATCGAGCGACCGATTACCATTCAGTATATCAGCCACGAAAAAACCATTGAAAACTTTCACGAATAGTTTACTTCCGCGGAGATTCTTCAGGTGCAGACTTTCTCGGATAGTTAACGATTCGGGGGCAACGTCGAAGAGGCTATTGTTCTCTCCCTCCACGTAAAACATGTCGTCGATGTGAACGTTCTCAAAATGCAAGTTTCTGAAACTTTCTGGCACTACCGTCGCAGTTGTGTACAAGAATTCGTGTTTGGTAAATCCGTTCAAGTACTCCGCGTTTAGCTGATCGACGATTAAGTTGTTTTCGAACACGACATCATTCTCGATCACCTGATCGGTCGATTTCGTCCAGAAGTTCTCGACGATACCGTCTAGGCTTACTTCTTCGTCGTTCACGAGCACCTTGGAGTACTTATCCAAATCGAGAGCTCCTACCGTCAAATCGCCTCGAACGGTAACGTTGAAGTAAAGTTGGAGCTGTCTAGTCTCAGGAAGCTTAAAGCCAGACTCCGCTATTAATTTATCGGTTACGTGTAGGTTTGCAAGTTTCACTTCTCCTGTTAAACAAAAGAAAATAAAGAAATAAAGTACTTCCGAGTCAATCTTCGAAACCGACCTTTGATAGTGTTTTCACGGGATTTTCGTGCAGCATCGGATACCGAGACGCCATTGATCGAATCCGCGAGCAAGTTATCCACCCGAAGCGACCTTATCCCGAAATTATGGAAATTCTGTTCAGTTTTCGTATTCGCATAGTTCTCCAATGGTTCTCCATTCAAAGTTTGCGTCGTGAGTTTGTTGATACTTAATAAATCAATGTACGTAATGTTCCCTAGAAAATTGTACCTTGAATTCAATCTCATTTGGTTAACTGAAAAGTTTTCCAAGGCAATTTCACGAGACCTACCTTTAATCTTTTGATTTCGATGAAGAAGGAACAGCTCGCTGAGAAATTCATCGATATTCATGCCGTTCAACGTTTTTGCGTTGAATTTTGGTAACGACACATTCGTATGTAAACGAATAGAATCGTTTGAAAATTCAATCTTGTCTGGCTCGACGTTTATTTGCATTCTTGACGTGTCGTTGACGGTATTCGTCGCCCAATCTAAAGCATCGAGTCGCTATAGTTAATCAACTACAGTACTGTCTCGAAATAAGCAACTCGCCGGTCCCGACCGAGTTGCTTATTTCGAGGGTGGTATGCTATTCGGCTTGACTTTGTTCTCGGACGAGACGAGGGGGTTCGGTGTAGCGGCAAACTATAAAGTGATCGCTCGAGCACGGGTGTTATTCTTTGGAAAAGGATAAAACATAACATGCTTTCTCATTTTAGATTTTAGATAGCGAGTTGCTACTATAGCCTACTGAAGCCTACCAACTTACATTGGAACGGAATCCCGCAAAGAGAACCAACTTCGAGATCGTGTACTATGATATTCTTTCCGCGCAAGGGTGCGAAATGTTGCGCAGACTCACTGGAGTCGACATCGCTTGATTGAATATTAACATCGTTCAAGAAATCCACGTCCATCTTGTCAATTTCCAGTTTCCCGACAGACGCATCGCCCCGAACGACGACATTGCCGACCAACGAATGTACGTTACTCAATTTTAGGAGACTCTTCGACGACTTTAAAGTATCGTTAACGTCGCGAATCAAAGCGTCCAAGTTTCGTTGGAGATCTCTAGGAAGAACGATATCTTCGGACACGAAGACATCGATATTTCCTATGGTTCCCGATTCCAATGTTAAATCTGGGAATACCAAAGGTTTTGTTATCGTTAAGTCTTCGTTCGCCGGTAACAAAGACGCCCACGAGGATTCAGCTTTATCCACGAACGGCTTTCTTCGTTGCAATATCTCGACGAGCATCGACAACTGTTTGGACAGGACGTCCGTCTCCCCGATCGAGTGTTCTGAAAGTGATATTGCGTTTGAACGAGAGTAATTCGGCTCTGGTCATTTTGAGAGGACGCTAATTACAGTAAAGTCTCCTTAAATGCACAAGCTCGGGACTGAAGTTGATCCGTCGCGGATCATGTTACACTGCTCGGGAATCGAACTCCTTGGCCCCCCAGTAGTGGGGATGGTTTCTGTGCATTTATTGTAGAGAAATTTGTGCATTTAAGGAGACTTTACTGTATTAGGTTGTCCCAAAAGTTTCTTTCGCTTGATTAATAAGTAATACATGCACAATATTTGATGTTTTATGTTACATTACTGAATTGTGCACGATTCATTTTGCTCCATTACTGTTACAACATGAATATCTATGAAATTAGATTGTCTATTTATATAAACACGACCACAGAAAATAATCGAGTGCAACTCGCGAAAGAAACTTTCGGGACAACCTAATAATTCCAAATAGGATATTTAACCGGAAGGTAGTTCCTTGATCTGCAACTCCCACGATGCAATGGTGTAAACGTTATCCAGATTCACGGTGACCAACAACGCGTTCACAGTAGATTCATCGCCCCTGGTTAGTACGTCGACCACAGTCTCGTCATCTGGCAACCTTATAGCGCTCGCTAGAGTGCAATCCGATGCATTCTCAAACTTGTATAGTTTCAAACCGTCCTGCAACGCGATCAACATTCCTTACACATCAAAGTTCTCGATAGTCGAAGAGTTGCTCAAGATTAAAATGTACGCTTACGCGGTAGCCCGTGAAGAAGAAGGTGTCGTCGTCCACGTTGACCACGCGGATCAAATTGGGCGTCTCGATTTCAGGAATCTGCAGCCAGTTCAACAATTCTTGTCCTACAAAAAAGATCAGTTTTGAAGCATTCGACAAGGGTCAACGAGGATAGAAAGACCATCGACGAGAGAACGGACCGTCCCACCAGAACAAGTTGCTCGGACCGCGCTCGTTCATCAAGAAAATGAAATCGAAGCCTGCGTGATTGTAATGGTGAACAGAAACCGGGTCGTAGGTCGATAGAAACTGTATTCTGTCCGGGCTGGTTTCCTTGAATTCGTACACCATCGAGCCGATGCCAGGATCATTTCTGCTGTTTTGTGCGAAGACTATGATTGTCGACTGTTTGTGCTTGAACGTGGTGACCGACACGGCAGCAGTAGTCATCACCTCCGTTACTACGTCCATGTACGTGCCTCTCCAATGATATATTCTAAACGAATAGGAAATTAACTGTTAAATGTCCTACGTTTCGGGACGATACCACGTTAGTTGTTCTTCGGTCGAGTAACGTACAAGGATGGTACAGTGAATTTGTCCGAGTTATCAGCTACCACGAGGTAAAGTCGATTAGAGCGAGCGAAGAAGCTGGCGTCCATGGGATGTCCTTTATGTTGCATAGTCTGTCGGTGTCTTAATTGAAAATTATCCGTTCCCGTGTATAGACTGCACGAGCCAGACCTATAGCAAACCAGTAGATACAGAATGGTCTTCCAGACGATGCTCTGTAACATGTTAATCGCAATCAGTCGTTATCCAGCCTTTTAAGTGTGTTCGGAGGGTTATTTCAATCCTTAAACTTGATCTGATGGTATTTCGCGTACCCTGACGAATGCAATGGTGCCACTGCCACGAATTAAAGTGACCTCCTGAATGGTGGTGTGGTTCGAAAGAGACGCATCGACGGAAAATGCCGCGATGCGATTCCCTTCGACGAAGACTACTTTGTTGAACGCGTTCACTACGAAGGGTCGATCCTTGTTAAGGTTCTCTTGCCACAGCTTATTCCATTGCACGTGGTACAGTTTTCTCTGAACTGCAATTGTAGATTTTCGATAAAATCGCAAAGTTATACCTTCGTTCTATATTACATCGTATACCGTTTCGTTTACCTGGCAATTCTTCTCGAAAGTGGAGTTTCGCTATTTCGATTTTCGTTTGCTTCAACTGCTCGTCCAAGTGATCGTTTTTCAAAGCTTGCGCTAAAACGTCGACACCAGTGCAACCGAGCAGAATCTGGAGCGATAAAGATTAAACGAACATTTGTAATTTGTTATTTTATTTCACATTATAAAAGAACTCACAAGAATCGTCAGAAATTCCATGATTTCGCAGTGCTCGAGTACCGGTTCATCCGCCAGCGGTGAAACCTACTGATCCGATTGATTTCAAACAGCGATCATGGGGGTCATCGACTGCTTGGGTATACAAACAAATGTAAACGAGCATGTAGTATTTATTAAATTCAACACATTCAAATATGGAAAGGTAACGATCGAATCTTGAATAGTTCATTCACGTTGTACCTACTTTGGGTCGAGAATGATTGATTGGGCCGACTAAATATTGATTTCTGACAATAGTTAAATTAATTATTAACAATATTTATTATATATATTATTATATATTATAATTATATTATAATTATTATAATTATTTGTTTAAACAATGATCGAGAATATGATTTTTCTGTAATATTAACGTTTCGTCAATTCTAATGTCCTTGGACCGAACAGACTCTGGTTACGCGCGTCGATCAATCCGCGTTCAGCCTTGATAGATGTCGAAATGTATCAGGACGATATCTCCTTCATCGATGGAGTTGTAATTCGATATTTAAATTAATTTTAATTTGTGCTTCCTTCTGTCTTCCTCGTGGGTCTCCACTTGCAGCAACCTCCACGTGGTGAGACCTGGTAATCGGTATTACTCGCGACAAAGAATCATTTGTTGATCTTTTGTAAGGCGTAATAGGGAGTAATAGCGAGCTAATGGCTGCAAACTTGTAATAAGATCTTTAGATATAAAAAGTAGGGTAAAGAGTTACAAATATAACTTCTAACTCTTTCCTACCTCATTCTACTTGAAAATGTAGTATTTACATGCTATTAGGGTTACATTTGATTTTCAAATAGTTCGTGAATACCTTAAAAATAATACAATTCTTTCGAAACCTAGATGCTTTATACATTATCCTCTACAATTTAAACAAAGCGCCACGGAAATCCCGTTCGCATAACCGTCCTCAACGCCGTCTTGGGGCCCCCTGACCCAAAATGATATTCGATACGATCATTGATCGAAACGAACCACAAGATAGGTATCCTTCTGTTTGAAAGTTGGTCCTCGATCGCATGTTGCGCGCGTCAGATGGCGCGATGAGGCCGGACGACGTGACGATTCGATTGGCAGAGAACGACTCGCGATCGTCGCGTGGATTGGCCCCTAGATCGCGATCGAAAGATCTCCACGAATCCTGCGAGAGTTTTATTAGGTAGGAGCGGCGTGCAGGGGCTGGGACGTAATGCAATCGGTGTGATCGGTGCCGGTAACGTTGGGGCTCGTGTGGTGCACAGCAGCGCAGCAGTTTCGGTGCCATTGTCATCGTCTTTGACGGGAAAGCGGGGAACGATCTCTCGCGAAACAGATTTCGCGCGTATGCACGTATCGCACGATAATACGTGCGTCGACAGGAGTACTGTGTGCCAGTGTGCGCGGGTTCGTGTTCGATTTGGTGCGTGTATGCGAGGACAACCGCGTGCGGGCGGTTCCCACACGTCCGTGCAACAAGTGTCATTACACAGAAGCGCGGCAGAAGAAAACCGTCCGTTCCGAGGAAACGTAATAGAGACGCCGTGCATGGTGGTCCGTTCTTCGTTCAGAGGACAGAGAGAGGACCATCGGCGAGGATGGGCTGCGCCGTGAGCACCACCGGCGAAAAAGAAGCCGCGGAGAGGTCGAAGAAGATCGACAAAGATCTTCGAGCCGATGGCGAGCGGGCAGCCAGCGAGGTCAAGCTCCTCCTGCTCGGTAATTTCTTCTCGTCTTGTCTATTCCATTCGATATGATTTTCATTCGCGAAATTCTCGTCCCGCTGTCATTCCCTTGTCGCTTTACTCGTGATTTCGAACGCGAAGTGTCTACTTCCTCGATGCTCTGATTCCGTCGTAACAAGTCGATCCCATAGCACTTGGCGGACTCGATTACTCGGGGAAACGTATTTTTTCTCCTTCTTCTCTTCGTGCTCGATCTTTTTATGAATTATTTCGACGGATTTTTATTTTAAATATCCTCTCTCTCTCTTATTCCTCGCCAGTTACCGGGATCTAATCAATTATCGATTTTGCGCAATCGCGGAAGTGCAGCGCGGTTGATTTTCCGAAAACTTGAATCATCGGTCTCGCGTGATTCATTTGGATAACTCGTTAAATTTATTCGTTTCGTCGCACCTGCGCGCACGTTTTTCTTTGATTTTCATTTGCGAACGTTGCCGCTCGCATTTGAAAAATATAGAACGTTATGTTAATATAGGAATATATTTGCTTCTGATTATAAGACTTAGACGAATTTTTTTTTATTTCAAGGAGCGGGAGAGTCTGGAAAGTCTACTATAGTGAAACAAATGAAAATTATACACGAGACTGGTTATAGCAAAGAGGAATGCGAACAATATAAACCAGTGGTATATAGTAACATGATTCAAAGTCTAATGACAATAATTAGAGCTATGGGACAACTTAGAATTGATTTTGCAGATCCCAATAAAGCGGTAAATATAGTGTTGTTAAAATAAAATTGTTTATATTATCTTTCTATTTTCATTCCTATTAGCAAGATCTAATTATGTTGTAGGACATAGCACGCCAATTCTTTACCCTAGCTTCTGCAGCAGAGGAGGGTGAGCTAACTGGGGAACTGGTGCTATTAATGAAACGATTATGGCAGGATGCAGGAGTACAGCTTTGTTTCACACGTAGTAGAGAATACCAGCTCAATGATTCGGCAGCGTATTATCTTAATGCTTTAGATCGCATAGCTCAACATAACTATATTCCTACTCAACAAGACGTTCTCAGAACGCGTGTAAAAACGACAGGAATAGTAGAAACAAACTTTTCTTTTAAAGGTTTACATTTTAAGTAAGTTACCATTAAAATATATTTGCGAGTTTCTCGTCGTACACAGTTATTAAGATTTATTTTTTTGTTTTGTTAGAATGTTTGACGTTGGCGGTCAACGATCAGAGAGAAAAAAGTGGATTCACTGCTTTGAAGGCGTTACCGCTATTATCTTTTGCGTCGCGCTTAGCGGCTACGACTTGGTTTTGGCAGAAGACGAAGAAATGAATAGAATGATAGAATCGATGAAACTATTTGATTCTATTTGCAATAGTAAATGGTTTCTCGAAACGTCGATCATTTTATTCTTAAATAAGAAAGATCTTTTCGAGGAAAAAATCACGAGGAGCCCGTTGACTATTTGTTTCCCAGAATATAAAGGTGCAAACACGTACGTAGAATGTGCTGAGTATATTCAAATGAAATTCGAAAATTTAAATAAAAGGAAAGATCAGAAACAAATTTACACACATTTCACATGCGCCACCGACACGCATAACATACAGTTTGTATTTGATGCTGTAACCGACGTTATTATCAAAAACAATTTGAGTAATTGCGGTTTATTGAGTTAAACGTTCCAATACTTGTTTCAATTGGAAATGATAGATCGATATCTAAGGTTTACGAACCTATGCGAAAGCACAAAGGATACACGTGAGACTGAACAATAATAGTTACAGACGAAAATGTTCGGAGTCTGCTAACATGTATGCCAATTGTGTAACATTTTCACTTTGGCATCCTATTTACAATATTTACGTTTAGCATTATGTAACGAATTACTAGATTCTATATTTCTCGATTAAATGTTTCTTTTTTTTGTATGTAAAACTTCGTGACACTTTCTCGCAATGGGATAGTTTTTAACTTATTGATCTGTCTTAAATAATGGTCGATATTAACCTAAAAGGATCAAACATTCAAGAATTGCAAAATTCATTTTTAAAGGTAAAAGCAGATACTATTTGCAAATGAAAAGACACTCGGTTTCTGCTAACTGTATTTAGTATATTAACCAGAAACTAGTTAGCTATTACTTTAGCGATATCTTTTTGTATATAATTTATTTGCTAAAAGGACTATGTCTCTGTTGAATGGATCTACATTTCTATAATCGTTTTCGAAATCAATCATTTCTCTCGCAAATGTTTATATTTTAATGACAGACACAGTTCTCTGTGTTTACAGTATATATACAAATCAAATTTGATAATAAATTTTTGTAATACCTTTTTTATACATATTACTAGATAATGTTTAACGAGCTGTCATTATTGCTCTACCTGCCAAACGAATGACAATGCTAGGATTAGTTACAGATTTAGAGATCAGTCTCATTATACTGCTGAAATAAATAAACAAACATTTTTTATAAAAGTCAATATTTTTTTACATTCCTGTGCTTCGTGTTATTGTGAAATGTATGTGAATCTCTTTCGTTAATCTATCGTTAAATTTGTAGTTTAGTCAAATTTTGGAAAGGAGCAATAAGATAACTATTATGAGTATTTGGAAAACGTGCATTAATTACAAGACATGTTTTACCGAAGCCCTCTCTATTTACACTTTCGTTCAAATTTAATACATAATGTAATGACAAACGTTCTTAAAATCATGTATTTTCATTGTTCTTTTCAAATTGAACATTTTGCGTGTCTTGTAGCATGATCATTTCGTAAAGTATAACAGGCGCGTATGACGTACTTATTATTTCAAATCTTGCAAGGTAATTAAGAATGCTTTCTTCGTTGTGTAAACAGAATCTCGATTTACTTCTATCTTGTATCAATTTTTATATGTATATGTACAATAATACAATACATGAAGCTACAAAATAAATATAGTATTGATTTTGTTCTTTCTAAGAGTGTTTTGAATTGGAAGTATATTACTTAATATTTTTACGCTACCATAACAATCTCTTATATTTGCTATTATTCATTGTATTACTATTAACTTAAAAGAATATTGCTTGGTCAACGATTGTATATATTTTATACATACAATACATATATGGAGAATATTTTATAAGAATACTGTTATCTGAGTATTATTTTCCTTATTATTATAACCAGTAGTAAACTTAAGTCACGCGTTTAACTTTAATTCTCAAAAATTATGTTAACTATCAATGTTGTCTTTTGTATTTTTTTTTTTTTATTTAGAAAAATATGATAAGATGCAACAAGAAACAGACGTAGTCAGTAAACAGTTTTAACGTTGATTCTATATAAATTAATCTATCATAGAAGTGTAACTGTTTCGGGGCTTGTTTGTTCAAAATGCAGGATACAACAATAATAATAATGACATTCTAACATTCCGCCATTATACATTTTTTTAAACGGTATATTTATATGACATTTTTAACAGCATAGAATTCGTTAACATAATTATTATTTCATTAGTCTTAATGACTATATTAACGAGCAGTAACGAATATTGTTGCTGCACGACAGGAAGCAAAAGTTCTCAGAGTGCATGGAAACAGAGTCTGACTAATCACAGAATAAACTTGAGGTTTACGGTAGGCTACACAGCTGTACAACGTTAATTGGAAGCAAACTATTTCACCTATAATTTCTATCAACATTCATAAATAATTAGCTACACAATAACATCTAGTGATTCGATTCACGTCGGAATGATATATACCGTTATTTAATGTGGATTTCTAGCCGGAATAGGTGGCCCGCCTGATGTTCTTGCTGGTATGGGGGGTGGAACGTTTGACGCGGGTAAACTAGGCGGAGGATGTTGAGGCGGAGGCGGAGCTTGTCTTTGCGGTAGAGGAGGAGGTTTAGAATTAGGTGGCCTACTAGATGACTCTTGCGAAGCATCTGTGCGAGGTAACGGCGGTGGCGGACGGTTTGGTATGGGATAACTAGGAGATCCATCCATTATTTCTTCATAAATTGCAGATTCTGGAGATAGCCTTTCACTTTGTTCGGGCTCTACTCTTTCTCTAGATAACGGCGTTGGGAATTGATTGGGTAATACGCTGAATACACCAGCACGTGGTCCTTGTTTTCGATCTTGTACCGGGCTCTTGGGTGGCTGAGACGGTCGACCTGGTGGTGCTGGTCTAGGTGGTGGAACAACTCCGTTTGGGCTACCTCTACTAGGAGAAGATCGTTCCGTTATGTCCAATTGTTCTAATCTTTGCATAGGGCTCCTTACTGGAGAGGTTGAAGTAAATTGCGCAACAGTGGTGTTGCTGCAAAGTTCTATTTCTTTTTCGATAAGTTGTACCCAATTTGGAGACTTCAAAGATAATTTTAACGTCTGACCACATACTTGAGTCATGCCCTTCCTTGCTGCTGACAATGCACATTGTCCATCTCTGAATGTCACCCACATTGTTTCACCGACAAATCTGACGAGAATTACATCGCCAATGTGGGAAAAATCTTGAAACAGAGCCGTCATGAAATTTCCATCAAACACACTATCCATGTCGTCGGATTCCTCCACTGCTTTTACTACTATGGTACCATCTGGTGGACCTAGATCTTGGATGACTTCTCTAAATACATGCTCCCGTTTTTCGGGTTCGACGCAATGGATGTCTACATCGACTATTGCAATGACTGGTCGATGGTCGCTTTGCTTCAATTCTACTCTACCATAATGAATTAATTTTCCTGGATTCCAGTCCGTCGGTGAATCTGAAATGATATATACAGTTAATACACGAAGAGTAAAGAGGAGATAGAATTATTTTAAGTTGTACGAGACTAACCTATATCAGGTACTTGTTTCCTACGTTTCCATAAGACTCTATCGGTCCATGCAGGTTGACGGCATTTTTCACTGGTGTCATAATCATCGGAGAAAAGATCGTATTTGTACGTTGGCGCGAAGGTAATAGGGCCTTCCAAGAAATTTTTGAAAACATTTCCCTGATCTTGTTGGACCTGAAACAAGATACATCGCGGCGATTTAATATGTACATTTTAATTCATATCAAATATTTATTTTACATATAATACCTACCTTCAATTGATCATGTTGTAATATTTGATCAAATTCGTTCCTTTTGATCATCTCTTTCATTTCATTTTTGTCCATGTCAACTCTGTAATTAAAATCTCCGCACCAGAACACATAGTCGTGAGTGTTCAATGTTCTTCCCATGGGAAAGGTAATTTTTCGTGTAATTTCCGCGTAATCTGCATTACGCTCGTTAACTTGAGACTGCCCAGCAGCAAAGTGCGCGCAAACGAAACAAAAAGATGTAGAATATAATACACATCTAATAGCTGCAGCCCCTTTGTTCCCCGTTGCACCTCCTAATCCAGTTTTTACACAATCTACGGCTAGGTCCCTTAAGTAAGGTGCATGTACAGGCCGTATGAATAAATAAAGACAAACGCCAACTAATTGTTGATACGTGACCAGAACGTATTCCGTGTCTCGAGAAAGTATTTTCTGCAATTCCTCCGCCCAGGTTTTTGCGTTATCAGTACTAGCAGCCATTATATTACTAGCATTTAAATCAACAATTTCTTCGAATCCTATCGCGAATACATCTATAGGAACATTGTCATATTCAACTGACACTAGAGTTGGTGATTTACGTGGAGCATCTAGTAACCAGTCGGAAAGGGAAACATCTTTGCATGCTATGCTTCGAAAATGTTTTCCTCCGTTAACATTGTAAGTACCGACGCCTACTCTAAGATTTATCGGGGTTACGTATTCGTTATATCTTTTGCACATTTCTCTCAGAACACTTGGCGGAGCATGTAGCATATTAGAAGGCAAAAGTAATCGAGCTCTGTCTGCTAGTTCCGTGTTTAAAGTTGATCCCAATAACAAGATATCAATAGCTTCTTGCTTACAGGAGTCTAATAAATTATTTTGTATTGTTCTAGCCGCAGATCTCGCGCCATCCATTAATTTAGAACTTCCTTGAATCGCTCCAGTACCAGCATATATTTTGCTTACTTCATTACCATTGTTGATCCACATTTGTTTAAATACTTCTTCGAACCTTGAGACCATCTGTTGTTTTTCAAGCAGTTTTAATAATCCAAGCTGTTTACCGAGTATCTCCAATGCGAAGAACGTTTGTACACAATTGGTTCTATCTAAGCAATCAAGGCAATTTGTTCTAATAGTCCCATTTTGTTCGTAAATAACAGTATTATTAGCAGCATAAAATAATGAAAAAGATTCTAAATATTTTTCTACTTTTGCCTTTAATTTTGATAGATTTTTCATATTTCCACCTCTACACTCTTGGTGGTAGTCAAATAAAATGTGAGGAACATCTGTATGCTCTGACATATTGTGATGAGTTTGAAACAACTGACTTAGCATTGCCTCTCCTTCTTTGCTACCAATGCCGCTAGACCCAAGAAGATTGACAATCACTTGCTGCCCGTATCTTTGTTTGATCATATTCATATGTCTATCGAAAGCTGGCGCAGAAGCCTCGAACCCACGGGATATTTTGACCTTATGGGAACCAACTTGAATGCCAGGTTGTTCCCAGAATAAAGGGACAGAACCTCTAGTTTGAACATAGGAAGTTACTTCGTTATCTAAGTAAATCACTTGTTCTGTTTCTACAAAATTTGCTACATGGCCATCATCGTTGGTTCCTCTAACATTGAATCTAGAAAAATGACAAAAGTGGAATATATAGGCTTTAAGCAACTGATATGAAATTATCATGTATGATCATGTTACTTCCACAAAGTGATAACAAATACGAGATAAGGATGACACATACAGAGCTAATAAAAAATAAATTTCCCAGTTTGGAACAAGTTAAAAATACCTGGTGCCTGCTCGTTCACAACTCAACCTGGATATAAGGAGAGCACGAGCTTGTCTGTGTCCAACGTATACAGTTCGAATTTCTACACTGCCACACATAGCCTTAAGTAACCAGTAACTTGTGTCCACTCCATATCTTAATAAATGGATGTGTAACATGCGATTCCTATTCGTGATATCAAAAGAATGTTACATCTGTTTATCTTATTTCAAGGACAATTATGTAATAATAACACAAACCAGAAAAATCTGTTATCAGTTGTTGTTGACTTATATCGTCTTTGTGCACTAAGAGTAATATCCAGAGGCTCTTGGTGTCCAGCAGACCAAGAAAAGTAGAATGTACCAGAGTTAAGAACCTTTCTAACTTCTGACACCCGATCCTCATTGCCTTGCGTATAATGCAGAGGTACAAAATGTGTCTGTATAATTCTAAATACTTCCGATTCTCCTATCTTGCCAACCGAAAAACATCCAGTAACAAGAACAAGGTACAGTAGCGTATTTTCTCCAGCATTTAATTGCAGGACACCTAAGCATCCATACGCGTCTAACAACTTTGTGTATTTTCCCTTTAAACTTTCTGTTTCTTCTGCAGCTGCAAAGTAACATCAAGAACATAGAAATAATAGAAACAAACAAATTATCGTAGAATTACGCGAAATAATGCCTAACAAAGAATCGATCGTGCGTATTTGACAGATACCGGTTTGTGTACTTCGAACGAGAAACCGAGAATTCAAAGATATTCGAGAAAAATTTGTTGTTAATTATCGCGAAATACTTACAGAGTACAGCAACGGCTTGGGACTCGAACAAAACTGTTTCCTTTCGATTTCGTTGTTCCAATATGAGAGAATGAGGACTTGGTGGCTTTAGCTTTTCGTAGACGCGAAATCCTTTGCCCATCGCCATTGTTGCGCTAATGTCTTCGAAGGTTTCGGGGATACAGGTAGATTCTGACGAGATATGACAGCCCGTCTGTCATACGGAGCAGCGTGATCTATTCGTGTTTCCTCCGAGCCGACAGAACACTTTGTTCATCGACTACTGACAGCAATACAATTTTCTCTAGAGGCTCGCGGAGGGGAGCAGCGCTCTTCTCGCTGATCCGTCGACACTTCGATATCTTCGCAATATATGCATCGTGATTCCACGGAGTCTACCGACTAGTCTGCCTGCTAACCGTAACAATCAATCGAACGCGCCATTTGAAATTTTAAAAACTCGAATCTGCAACCATTTCGCGCCACGGTTCTTATTACGATTTTAAAAGTAAAAGCAGACACTGAACATCGAAATTGTCACGGTTAATTAATAGGTTAAACCGTTCTGGACGTGACGATTACGATAGTATTAAAGTCATGAATTTTATGCATAACGATGATGAAAATTGAACCAAGTAACAATTAGGTTTTATATAGTATATCTTTTCTTTTACGCTACTTTTCTACCATTCTATTCCCGAGTATATGATTCTTGGGGTGATAAGGTATTTACTAGGTAAAGGTAATACAATACTTGAAAATGAAAAACATTTCTTTTTTTGTTGAAATACTTTTTCAAAATTATATGGTTCGTTTTCCTCTGAAATATATAGTTATAATACGACGACATTATCTTTGAAAAAATGCGATTGTTGCGATAAACTTTATTTTTCATAGTGACACAGTAGTTGCTACATTCATTTTTGCACAATGGCTGTTAGTTGTAACAAGATCCTTCGACGAGTGATCATCGTTCCTTCACAGAATATCATCTCTATTCTAGCGTTTCATGTTTAAATAGTTTACAAAGAATGTATTACGGCTATGTTCGTCACGGATGTCTTTGATCGTTGCATACATCTTACACTCTAATTATAGAAAACGTCACATCCTTTACATTACCACAGTATTTACACGATGGGAGGTACCGTTCATTGGCACCTAAGTATTCGTTAGGCTACCTGCTTTCTTTTTCTTTTTTTTTTTTAAGTCGGTCATTGGTACTAAAACTTATCTTAAATAGTAGCAATACTTGAAAGAAAAGGTTGGAGAGTCCATTGATCAACGATGTTCGCATTCAAATTTGACAATACGCATTGCGAATGTATTTAAATGATTCGCATTGTTATTACGTCTTCTGGCGGACTGTGCGGTAAGCGTCGACAAAAATAGTCCCTAAATATTAAATTTTGAAGAAAGCGCTGCATCGTACGATATCTCTGGAAATATTCTTAGACTAGGAAATTAATATACATTCTATAGAAAATTTTAACAATCAGTCGGTCAATTAATACTTTCCTACTCGTCCTTTTTTCCGGTATTCGCTTCTCTTCGTACACCTATGGAATTCTTCGTTATGTATGATTACATAACTCAGCTTACCGAATCTTACTTTAGAACATTGGAATTTCCGTTCTTCTCTCTGCAAACATCACTTATAAAAGAAATAGAAAAATCTCGATTAGATACTATAATTAAAACAGAAGATATTTAGCTAGGGGAGAAAATGATTATTTTTTAGCTAAAGTTATTCGCGTATCTAGGAGATTTTTGTCCTCAATAATCGCTTCCTAAACCTCTTTGGGTTTCCTTTTCCTAACCTCTAATCTTTTGTCCCAAACTTTTCTTAATGGTGAATAATTAACTAATATATATTATATAGAAAATATTACTTCCTGGAATACACGAATAGTCGTTTCAAAAATTAAACTATAGTTATTTTAGAAGTTTGGCCCAACTGCAAGAGAGATTGTAGTGATTGTAGAACACAATTCATGTTCTGTTAGTGCTTACACCTCGAGGAAGTCCTTTAACAAAGTAACGCGACGCTTCTCTGCAATGTCCATTTGATTTTCTAGATCCCCACGATCTGTAGTTTCTGCTCGTTCTATTTTCCAAGAAAGATTTTCTATCTCTGCTTCCAACTGCGCTTGTTGATACTCAAACTTAAAAATAAAAACAATTTGTTATTTCTTGTCGCGCGATATAATTCTTTGTTATTCGAGTAATATTTTACCAATTCTTTGCGGGGTCCAGGTTCCATGTAATAAGCGTAAGGATAAGTGTACTGTAAAGTATAGCGACAGCGTGCCAAAAGCGACGCAGCCTCGTATAAATGCTGCCAATCGATCCATGTTCCGCTAGCGTTCATTACTTTTTTATTTATTCGCATTTTTATACCTTCTAGTGTTTGTTCTTCTAATTTTAATGATTTACTGTGATTTTCCCACTGAAAAATATTTCAATGTAATATATAGTTATATGCTACGACGAAAGGAATGTTAAATTATATAAATTACCCTCCCATAATAATGCAGGTATTTCTTAAGAGCTTCTCGTGCCTGTGCATGAACACTCTCGTGAGCAATGTTGGGATTTTCCTTGTAGCGTGAACATTCGTAATATTCCGTTCCATGTGCTTTCCAATCTCCAAGGCACATCCAACAGAAATCGTGCTTACAATTGTAACATTGCATATGATTACAACCGCCGTTTTTTTCTATGCAAATATGACATTTTGGACACTACAAACAAAAAAGTCGTTTATTACTGAATCGTAATATCTATATTAAAACTGTATAAGATTTAAGTACTAACATCTTTGGTGTGAGCACTAATATAATTAGCTGTCTCTGAATCATCTGCACATTTCGTCAGCCATTTTCTAATAGTATTGCAGTCGGTGGGCGCATGGTAATCCATACCACAACGAAAGCTGCAATTATATAATTTTTAGCAAAGATTATATCTTTAGTAAAATTGTATATAAATAGTTAAATTTCGATCCCATACCAAAATATCGTTTTACAGGTTGTACATATAACTCTTTTTGCCCGTTGTTCCTTTGAACGCATAACTATTTGGCAGTTGGGGCCAGGACAGAATCTCAACTGGGGATGAGATTTCACATAATCGCAGAAAGCAAATTGTTGATACCTCTCCCTCATATTAGGCTTAGTGAGTAGGGATAAAACAAAGTCTTCTGGAACTAATACATCGCATTCCTGTGCCATGCAGCTTATTCCTAATAGAAGTTTAAATAATTGTTACGTGCTTAATTTTAAATACTTAGTTGCTTCTATAATATATTAGGTTTCTTCTTGTATAGAGCATTCAGTGGCTGGGAAATTGTCAGACACCTTGTACACGTATGTACAAATAGTCTTACCTGTGGAAATACCTTGAGTTATTTGTACTTCAAAATGCATGCACCAACAGTCTTTACAAAAAGAGTGTCCACACGTTAATGTAGAAAACTTTTCAGATGAATAAATTGTAATGCACACTGAACACAATCCACCCCTTTGACCTTTCAATCCTGGCACTGAATCCAATGAAGGTATTGGTTTTATTTTTGAATTAATTAATAAACTGGAAGCATTGGTACGGTACTTTGTGATGATATCTTGTAATGCCCAATTGTGTGCGTGTAATAAAACTTTGGCTAACGACGGTGTTATGTGAAGACTATTACTTAGCATTTCTACATTTTCATTCAAAAGTCTTTCCACTTCTTCGACCCGTAGACAATCGTATATAGCATATTCTGGATCTCTTCTGTTTTGATCAGGATCTATGTCATTGTCAACTTCACCACCCCATGGCTGAACATTATAATAGTCTTCGTAGCCTGGATCTCCGCAGTCTGAATCGGAATAATCCATTTCACTGTCATACTCTTTGCCCGACATCTGTTTCACAAAGATTCTGGTTTCATTACATGAAAATTTGTCTAATTATACGTTTTCTTAAGGCTCATTCAACATATGAAATAAACATATACACACGACGTGCATTAATCTTTCATAACCTCGTAATCTCTACTACTTACTCGGTTATAACAGGATACGAATATATTATAGACAAATAGCAACGATGTAAGAATGAAAATCTGACTTAGTATTTCACTGAAAAACCAGTGGAAGATAAAGATTTAAAGACAAAAGCTTCGGTAACTATAAAAAAACGATAATTCTCTGGAATCTTTTTGTTTAATATCATTTGTATAAGTCTTTTATTAATAGCGGATACAGGAAAAAAAACTAAATGCTATTCGGAAATATTTTCAGAATAAAAATGCATTCACCGTGTCAAAATATTTTGCACGAAAAACGTAGCGTCTTGATGTGACGTTTCGTAAACAATTTCATGGAATTTTCAGAGGTGCGTCGCGCTCAAAGTATTCGTTTATTTCAATCCATCGCGTAATAATCATGACCCACCTTTACGTTCTTATTTATCAAGAAAAATGCATTGATATTTTTGTTTCGTGGGTTAAATGTAAAAGTTATTAAAGGGCTGTATCACAGCCGTCTGCACCAGTAATCACTCCAGTGCATGAATTCCATGTATAAACTCTCGTGCAGCTCGTGCTAGACGTATGATGTGAACGATGTTGTAACAGATGATTTCATTTAATCTGGAAGTAGATAAGAATGTCAAAATCACCTGACAGAAAACAGCTGAGGTGTGCAAAGCGAACATTATCATCTATAATATCATTAATCGTTTAAAATTAGATTTTAGACCAAGTAGAAATATATCTCTACATTTCCTTTATGTAATACTCGCCATTCCCTTTACAATTTATTGTTATAAAAACTTTGAAATTGTTAATAAACTTCTTCTTTGCGTCATATTACATTTTATTGAACCCCGAATCATTTTTAGAATTTATTATTTAAGAAGGATATATTGAAATGTAACGAGGGTATGAAGTTAGTGTAGCAGAATTGGTACTTTAAAAGCATGTGATTTAATTTCATACATTCGTTTGGTGGAACTCATGCTTTTACAGGTACGATTGAAATGTGGTAATCATGTATGAATTTATTATTTATTTGCATAAAAGAACTTGTAGATAATTATCTTAATATATAGCAAATAAGTAAATTCTATAAAGTTTTGTATATATATCGATACAAGTAAAAGTTAATACGATTCAGTATGGAATTTTATTTTTATTTATTTCATTCGATATTTACGATTTTTGGACATTTTTGAAAAGTTCTGTAGCTAATTTATTTTATAATGTTTATTATTGTATAGTAGTGAAAATAGTTTTCCCTTTTGCCGCTAGATGGCGTTTGGTTTACCAGTGCACCAGTGGCGCCATAAGCGGGAAAATGTCTAAGTTTCTAGTGAAAATAATTTCCATTGTTCCTCCTAGATGGCGCTATTAAATAAAGGGTCGGTAATTATTGTTGCATTTACGTATGTATAGCAGATAAGTGTTTGAATGATTTATTACAATAATATATAGTAGTGTTATTAAGAAAGAAATCGTATTAGTTATGAATTTATGAAAAATAAAAAATAATCGAACAAAGGTATCGGTGGTGCCATCTAGTAACAAGAGTGGGAACTATTTTCACTACAAGCTTGGGCGTTTTACCACCGATGGCGTCACAGGTCTACTAAACCATTCGCCATCTAGCGACGTAAAAAGAAACTATTTTTACTATCAATTCGGGCTGTAGGTTCAAAAATTAGTTCGTTCTTTTGGCCGCGAGATGGCGATACTGAAGTTGTGTCCATGAAACGTAACTCGGTTGACTCGATGGGAAGCATCTACGGTTTTATTATGACAACATGCGTTCCTAACCTAGATATAACCTTAAAACGCGAGTTGTTTATTTATGAACGTTTGAAATTATGTCTGTGTACCATGATGAAGTAGAAATTGAAGACTTCGAGTACGACGAAGACGAGGAGATATATTATTATCCATGTCCCTGCGGCGATCAATTTCAAATATCCAAAGCAGAATTGGTCGCTGGAGAGGAGGAGGCCACATGTCCTTCGTGCTCCTTGGTAATCAAAGTAATTTACGACAAGGAAGCGTTCGCAGCTAAGCAGGAAGAGTTTGTTAAAAACGAAGAGAAAGAATTCGTCGCGCAGAAGGCTTAGTACGTAACCTAATTAATCTTTTGCGACGGTATCTCATATTTGTTTCAATCACCTTTCAGAGTGAATGATTGAATAACGATCTATTATCGAAAAGTAGAGAGTACAATTACTATGGCATCACGTGGTAGAGGAAGAGGTAAACCCTCCATGTCGATTAGTACGGAGCAGCTGGGGTTTTCCAAAGGAGAAGCCTTGCCACCGCCTGTTTTACAACCTCCGCCTAAGTATCCAGTTCTAGAGTACAAACCGTTACCTTTAACTATCACAAACGAAATGAGCTACTTATTGGAACTGAAAAGAGAGTTTGCGGAATTCATGCGGGAGTCTCCTAATAACGTGGTTCCACACGTGATCAAAAAAGATATCGATCGATATTCGGATCGATATCAAGACTTGATAACCGACAAGAGCGGGTACGAAACCAGATACGATTGGAGTAGAATGCCAGCAGAGTTGAAGCCATTGCAACGAAAACGTAAAGGATCAAGGATTAAGAAGCCTGAGGAGAAAAAGAAGAACGTCGACGTAGAATCTAAACTGAAAGAATTAGAGAACAAGGAGAGTACGCAACAAAGCGACGCGGAGGAGGATGGTAAAGAGGAAGAAGAGACGGAGGAGAAGGAAGAGGATCACGTGGAAGACGAGGAGGAGGAACCAGACGAGGAAATGGACGAAGGAACGGATTACGTGAACAATTACTTCGACAACGGAGAAGGTTACGACGACGAAGACGATAATTTGGACGATGGACCTATTTATTAACGTATAATTTTTTATAAGAATTGGAAATTCCTCTTGGTTCTCAATTATCGGACTAAGATACTTACAAGCTGTTAGTTGAGCACTGCACGGCAATGTATATATTCTCTTTGGTTTGTTCATTGTTTACCGAACACTCAATCATGTGTACAGACAATAAATTATTATAATGCTTAAACAACAACGAGATCATACGCTCTTACGCATGGTAATACCCACTTTCTCGATCGTTCCGCGATGAAATGTTTTTTTTTTTATCGAGCGGTGCAACGGTGTGATCGATGAAGGAAGAAATTTGTTTTGGAACAGATTAAAAATAGTCCAGGGTCACAGGAAGCGTCGGCGTGTTCTTTATTACGAGTATTTCAATTTCTAATATATAATATATATATATTTATATATATAATATATATATATATAATAGCCATAATAATCTGCAATTATTGTAATAAATGATCCTTCTCTACGATGCAATCGGAGAGTAAAAACGCAACTTTTTTTTTCTTTTTTTTTGGACGAGAAGGGGTTGCGCAAATGTACCGTAGTGTCACGTAATGCTTACATTTACGCTCCGTCGTGGTGGTTCTTCTTTTTTTTTTTTTTTTTATCTTTCGTATGTTACCATTTAGTTTTCTTCTTGCCCGCACGTTTCGTAAATTCATAGTGTTTACTAATCGTCGTCGTCGTATCGCTCCCAGAGTGTGCGCGTCGAGCGCGTGGCGAGGGGTGTAAATGAAACGAAAAGTTACACAGTCTCGCGAAAGAAGAAGTCGGTTTCCTGAAATTTCCAGCCGCGTGCCGTACGCTTGTCCCTTTTACCATTCGATTCGAGGTCGAAACCGGTGACTAGTTACTGGTCTGGTCCGGCGTACATAGATACCAAAACCGATTAAGTAAGTTCGCTTTAAAGGGGCGGAAACTAGGTTCGCACGCGCGTCTAACTCTCGACGCAACGTAGCTCGAACCATGTCACGATTTGGCAGTAAATCGAGCAAGCGATCGATCTCGTGTGACTAAAATATTTAGTTTGGTTTTGCTTTTTTATTTTTTATTTTTTTATGTATGTATATATATATATATATTTTTTTTTTCTCGACTCGTACCGGCGCGTTCCACCGCGTTCCAACGGACAAATCGCGAACCTAGGTCGTGGCGAACGGTTCTAGTTCGACATTTCGCGGATACCCGGCTTTCAATATGAATATGACAAATGACAGACTATTTACAGGACAAAAAAAAAAAAAAAAAGAACATACAACGTAAGCGTCGCTTCCATCGATCTCGGTTATTCTTTCACGGTCGTTCGACTGTCCTGGTTACTTGCTCGATTTTCTCTACTGTCGATCCGTTTACGAGGATACGAGGAAGCTGATCCCTGGCGAGATAAATCGATCGATCGTTGACGTTCGCAGAGGTCAACCCCTCGGGCTACGAAACTGTGATGCTTGCAATTTTCACCTACGATTAAATCGTTTCCGTTCCAAAGAGGAAAGTTTCGCGCCGAATTTCGACGTTACAGTTATAATATATTTTTCCAGCTATTTAAGTTCCCTTTGCCTTCGAAAATATTACCGGTGGCCTCGCGGCCGCCTGTAGCCCAGGGGCGTACGAAATTCCAAATCCGGCGCCGGTCGTCCGTACGTATCTGATTCGTGATTTTCAACGTTCGAAAAGAACCGAATCCACTCCGATCGGGTAACAGAAAACCTGCGAGACGATCGTTCGCCGTCATTCGTTGTATCAAGACTCGTCGTTCCCGCGATATCTTTCAATTTATCTTTCAATATTTTTCGAACAGCTTCTTCCCCCCCCCCACCCCTACCCTCTCCCTTCGATCTAGCCCCAACTCGATTCGTTTATAATACCATCGTTGCTCGAACGTCAGTTCCATTCTGCTCGCATCATTTTCAATAATATATTATGTATAATGTATATAGATATATTTTATATATATATATATATATACTTTGTATATAGTCGCATTTTAATATAGTACGACCTATTTATGTATAAGTAGGCATAAAGACTGAGGCGAGAATACAGGCGAAACTCCGAACAATATAGTCCTTTGCATCTTATATTTTTTTTTTCTTCATCTCTTCTTTTTTTTCCCCCGTTTTATTCTTAGTTTCTTTCACTCAAGAAAACGATCTCCCGTCGATTGTTTTCCGGTTCTAGAGCGCGAAATCATAAAGACAAGCGGTTACGGTTTTCTCCGTTGTCCGTTCGGATCCGAAGTTCTGTCGTTACTCGGTTCTCCGCGCGCAACACTCCGAAGTCTCGTTTAATTCGCGCGACAAAAGGAACGCGGAATATTCCGCGCGAATCTCGACGAAGATCGAATTTCAGGCCTTTCGCGTACCGGAAAATCATCGAATGATTTACTCCTGGCGATCGTTGCGATCGCAGTCGCCGGACCGTCTTCCCTGAAGGGTATTCCCGAGTATTATCCGGATGTTTCCCTCGTGCTTCGCGTTCCCTCTGTATCTCGAATAGAAAACGCACGTTTCGGAACGTGGCCAGCACGTTCGCGGATCTGTCGCTTCTTAAGGCCCGTTGATCGATGATCTTAGTTGTCCTCGACAGAATCGTAATCCAATGAAGTCTACGTGTACGAAATCAAAAAGGCTTGGAACGCGAGAAAGGCGACGGTGGATGGAGGATGAAGGACGTTCTAGGAAATATTAGGCGTAGAAATTAATTCCGTGGCTTTATATTCGATCGCTTATGACTCTATGCGGAAATATTTAATCGTCGTTTCGTTTAATGTACACTGACACGTTCACGCCGGCGTGCACCACCGGTGGTGATCGTGTTAACACGTTGATCGCCGCGTCACCCGTACGTGGGTGACAGTGCTTTTCACTGAAGAATTAAAAAAATTAATTCCGAAAGTTGAGCTTCAAAGAGAATGAATTTAAATGAAATTCGTGTATTTTGATGAAGTCACACAAAAATAGATACCACGTCGGACGTTTGATTATGTAATCTCTAATAGTATGAATAATATTGAATCCTAGCAGAAATTTTCAAGAATATTTCTCTGGCAGTCAACGTGTTAAATTACCAACCTTCTAGGTTCTCGACCTGCTTTCCATTACAACTTTGTTGTATTATTTGTTTATTATTATTACTCCAACAGATTACGAGTGTACTCGATATTCACAGTAATCGTAAAAGAATAGCAATAAGCTCGACGGATGTTACAGTTCGTATAGATGCATTGCGATGCAATGGCTACCAGGTTGAGACTTGGAACGTTCGTACTTCAATGTACCAAAATGACGAATAATTATATCTGTTTAGATTAGAGTTATTCATAGACTGCGGATCTTTATGCAAAATAAAATCTTTGCGAACGTGCCTACAAGAATTGAACTTAAATAGGAATTTACTTTATTCTGCATATATTATAACACGAACTTTACTTTCAATCTTTTTTTACATTCTTGCATATTGTTTGCAATTTGTAGTTTCTTGCGCATTCAAATTTCCTATAAACGCATAAAGATCCGCAGTCTAGCTATAAGTTATCGAATACAGAGCGCGGATAAGAATTTTGCGCATCCTTGACCGTAGCATCGGACCAGAGGAAAATAATATCGTGGTCTTGTCCCATGTTTGGTAAACGACGGCTTTTCTACGGGCAGTTTCGATCGATCATTTCCAAGCCTTTCCTCCCCGCGTTCCTATACTTACGCGCGTAATTATAAAAACATGTTTGAGCTTCGCCTAGCGAAAGGTCTCTCTGATCTCGCGGGTGATCCAAATCTCCGAAACGCCGGATTAAAGTGGAAACTCAACGCTCACTCGCCCTCCGAGTCCATCGACGTGACAAAGGTAAACAAATAATTGTTTCTTTTTTTTTTTGTTCTTTTTGGAAAACAGGAACAGTGTTTGAATCCGCGGCGATGAGCGATACACTCGATTGATTCTTGAAACTCGACGACGATTTATTCGCGAGTCGCTTTGCTCCGAGTCGAAATTTTGTCGTAGCCCTAACCGCGGTACAACGTTCTGAAAATCACAAGAGAAATCAGCTTCTAAATTCGGTCGGGCAGTGCAAGCTTCTGCGAGGTGTTTCCTCGACGCATACTAAGCGTTATTCCGCTTCGAGCTTCGTTGCTTACACCAAGCTATTTTCGAGTTTTCCCTCGTCGCATATTCTCTCCCTCTTTCTCAATCTCTCTCGCCCCTTTTGTCGTTCGTTCAACAACAGACAAAAGAAGAAATTCGTCGAATCAGTGGCGCGCAAGGGTCTCGTAACCGATTGGCAACAATCAAACATACATACGTATTACAATTATCACAACGACGCGATCATAATAATCATCGTAATAACAGCGCGACAGCGACAGTCCGTGCGTCAGACGTCTACTCGTGGGAATCGTCGATGAGCGATCGTCGAACGATCGAGGCGTGCACCGCCACTGTTCCGAGTCGATCACTCGAAATAATCTATGAAAATCTGCAACAACAATCGTCTTGCTCGTTGCTTCTTAATGATTCGATCAACTCGTACTTCGAGTTGTACGGGTGCTACACGGAATGCAATATAATTCAACACTTATCACAATAGATCGCGTTCACCAGGCGGCGGTGGTAAGCGCGTTAAAAACAGCCTTCGATATTCGATACGCTTTTGCTAAATATGAAAATCATTCCGTACTCGAGACGAGACGTGTCTCGTACTTGTATATCCAACCTCGAGATGGCCGCGCTCTCTACCCTCGAGTACGGTTCGATCGTCGTGTAGGCAGGAGCCGCAGAATTGAACGTCGAAGCGGAGGCGGATCGTAACTCGAGACTGGAAACGATTTGAATAAAGACAGAACGTTCAACGAGTACGTGAGCCCGCGTCAGACACGAAGCGGTGTCAGATTGGCGCCTGCAAGTAGCTCATGAAACTCGCAGGCGCCAATCCGACATCGCTTCGTGTCTGACATGGGCCCACGTCACGTCGGAGCACACAGGATCGTGTAACATTCAAGGGTTTCGGTTTGGAGAAACGACGGCGATCCGCCACCGCGTCGAGGAACGTAACGATACAAACTATAACACCGAATCGAAACTACGGCAATCCGCGAATCGGTATACGCGTTCCCTTCGGCGACCCGCATCCGATGCAACCGCGCGAATCAAAACAGATCGGTGTAAGCAGAGATCTAACATCACGTTTTCTGAACGCAATCGAGGAATGGGGAAGGGAGACTCGAGGAAAGGAGCATGAAGATATTTAAGAAATTAACAACGCTCGGGATGCAGCCGGTCCTCTCCGATCGTACGAACAGTCTCGAATTGTCAGCAGGTAGGCGCGATCGATGCCGATGGCGAGCTTCGAGTCTCCTCTCTTCGTCTTCGCATCGTCGCGATCTCTTATATTTTGCTAACGATCGAAGTGTTCGGGGAACGACGTGGTCGTCATCGTCACCGATCGACCGCACCTCGGACAAGCTGTAAAAGAAAACGTAAATTAGCCACGATCTGTCGTCGACATCCTGAATTCTCTCTACGGTTTTAGTTACATCGAGTCCCTCGTCAGTCGTTCGCTTCTGTATTTCGTATTTTAGCTTTTTTTTTTGTCGTTTTTCTTCATTTTTATTCCCCTTAGCGGATTTTTCTTTTATCATTAGAGTTATCGTTATCATTAATCGTTATCGTTATAACTGCTTCACTACGGTTGGTTGACTCTTGGACGTGGATCTGGATGGAGTGTGGTGTACCGGTGTGTACCAAAATGCGCGTGAGAGAGAGAGAAAAGCTCCGTCGGTCGATTTCGTTCGTTCTCTTCTTTCCCTTCCTCCCTTTCGTCGTCCTCGTAAGCGAGAACACCGCCCCCCCCCTCCCCCCCCTAATGTCCAAAGTCTTTCGCCTCTGTCATGTCGATCAGGAAAAAGATGCGTCTTTGCGTACGTCGTTCTCTCCTCTCGCTACTTTTCTTGCGTTCTATCGTTACCGTCTCTCGTTCGTACTTCCGGTGCTGCGACCGCTTACCAGCGTACGTTCAACCCCCAGCACCAACAGGGTCGAGGAAGGGAAGCCATTACCTTCCTTGCTCCGTTCTGGATGATCCTCGAGCCTCGTTCGAACCTCTACTTTCGTTTGTTTCTGTTTGCTCGAGAGGGGAACGCGCGAACGAGGTTCTCGCATAAGAAATCAAAGACGAAATGCAGCGTGCAACGGGAAGGTAGCGTCGACCCTTCCTTCTCTTCTCGGTTCCCGCAACGATTCCCCCTCAAGCGTCGCGTGTTCGACGTCGTCGTCGACTAGCACCGGTTCCCCGTCGTTGGTCTTCGACCTTTGACCATTTCTATTCGTAGACACGGCCTGTACACACGGTTCTACGAACATAAGTGAACATCGACGTCACATAGATGATTTTATCCTTGCTTCAAAGCATTTACCCGACGCCGTCTCTATAAGCGAATATGGTCGGAGGTCTTGACGCGGATAATTTCGCTGTTTCCGCTTGTGAAAACGCACGGTTCGCGATCGATCCGAGGGGAGGAATCGCCTCGAGAGGTCGCGTCGCGCGCGAAAAACAAACACTACGCTTCACTACAGTAATTCGTTCTGCTTGCTGGTGATTTACCGGGAGAATTCCTCGCCAGTCGCGGCTCGACCGTGTCCGAGAGAGGAGAGGATCCAAAATACCGAAGGGATAGTAATGAAAAGTTTTCCGCGTGAACCGTGTGAACGAGAAGCGATCGTTTCCTCGGGAATTAATAGGAACCGGAGGAGGTGAGAATGGCTGAATGTTTCGGAACTCCGTTTGCGATTGTGCAAGAATAATTCTTCGCGACATTTCCCCGGGGTTTCTCTCGGAACGGTCGAGGTTCTCATCGAAAATGGAATGGATTATTAATTTCGGACGCGCACAAAGAGAGAGAGAGAGACGCTCCGTGTTCGAAAGAGACTCGTCTCTTCTCGCGGTACCCTCGACAATTTTGCAGATCTGTCCTCGATTTTTCGTCCGTTCACCCCCAACGTATCTCTCGCGGCACGTCTAACTCGCAGATCCACGAAATCGTCTCGGTACCGCGATCGCGAAATCCGCGAGTGCGACGTCCATAATGTAGACGTACATACGGTGTACACGTGTATAATTGTTTTCCGTATATAGACGTTATATAAAACGCACGAAGCGGCTGAAGGCTACTTTATCCTTCCCCTTTTATTTATAGCGACAAAGCCGTACCTTGTTTCCTCGCGATTCGATTCGTTCACGGTATCTCATCTTTATTTTCTTTTTTTCTTTTTTTTTTTTTTTTTTTATAAATGGAAAAAGAATTCGGGCTTAACTACGGCGGATCCCTCGAGATCACTTGAATATCCTAGAAACATTACTGACTCGCGTGTGTTCGTCTAGGTGCGTGTCTTCCTATTGTATGTATTCGTGTGGCGTCTGTGTCTGTCTTTCTGTGTTTGTAAGTGTGTGTGTGTAGTTAGCGGGTGTCGCGTGTACGTGTCCGGTTTCGTAATTTCCTTCTAAATCTCATCGTCTCGACTCAAGATAACCGTTGGTCGAAGGAGCTGGCTCTCCGATGGCCGAGAGCCTCGCGTCCACGCGTGTCCTGTGTGTTGGATCGCATCCTCCGAACCGTTCCTCGAGTTTCAACGAGACCGACGCGTTGGCTGCACGCACCGTCTTCGTCATCCTCGGTCGTCTTACCGATCAAGTGTCCCCCTATTTTCCCGTCGATGACATTCAATCATCCATTCTGCATCTAAGCTCGTCGAAGAGGCCTAGAATCTCCCCTTCGTAACTTCCAATGGAAGTCTTTGGTGACGATCCTTCTCTTTGTTATATACTCGGACCTATGTCGAACGTACCGAAGCTGCCTCCGCGATTCGAACATCGACGTGGGACACGCGACACGTGACGCGTAAGACGGAAAGAGGCGAGATCTCGCTCCCGATGAAACAACGTTATCAGGAACGAGCAGACGAACCACGAAAGGAGTCATTTTCGTCCTCCACGGGGAATCTTGTATCGTTTGTCTCCCGTTCTTCCGTTCTCCTCTCTCTAATCCCCCTTCATTGTTCCGCTTGCTCCTCCGGTTTCGAGGACGTCGCATGTTTGTTTCTTCGCGTGAACGTTTTAATTCTCCGAGCCGCTACCCTTTCCCCAGAATTTGTCGAAGCGATTTCGCGCCTTCTCCAACGCTTCGCTCGCCGCTGAGCGTTGCGCCGTGCCGGGAACAACCGTCGGTGCCTCCAGCACGTGATAACTACCCCCGCTGCTACCTGCTACGCCTCCCACGCCTCCGCCGCCGCCGCCGCCGCCGCCTTGAGGCAAATCGGCCTCCAGGATACGGTAACCCGGCTGAGGAGCCGTCGACGACGACGGTGTCGTCATCGTCGCTGTCGTTGTCGGCTGACCGGCCTCCTTTCTCTCGTATTCGAACCCTGGATCCTCCAAACATCTCAAATTCGTTCCTGCTACTGGCTTTATCGATGATTCCGGTCTAGGCTGGTCTTTCGACTCCTCCTCGGCTCCCCCTGATTCCTGAAATTCGATTCTTTCTTTTATGTATGCAGAGAAAACGTCGGTAATTCCCGTGGAAGAACAAATACGCCAAAAGTGCTCAACTTTACATACGCGTAACTTTGAAACCGTTGGATTTGTAACATTAAAACATCCATTTTTGTATTCTACGGATGAAAAGTCACTAAATCGTACAGAAGAAAAAGTCAATAATTTGTAGTACCCCGAAGTAAAGATCAGCAGGTGGGAAAGTTGATGTGGGAATCCGAGAGTATTACCTTCTCACCCTGCGTGGGTGTGCCGACACCCTGAGCGCTGGTGGGCAACGGGCTGTCCCTTTCCGAGTCCATGTCCTTGTGTCCGTTCAATCCCGTGAAGCTGCCGATGGAAACGCTCTCGCTCTCCGGTGACTTGTAGCCGGAGTGTTGGGAATGCTGCGACTTGTGCTGAGCCGCGAGCTCGGGCGGTGCTGACTGAGGCGCGGAAGGCAAGGAGGACGGTGCCCATGTCTTTGCCTCGCTATGCGGACGCGTCAGGGGTTCTTGAAAACAGAGATCAAGGTAACGTAAATCTGATCGATATCGTTCGAGCTACTCGTCCATTGCCAGCTCGATCGTTCCTACCAACGACCGTCTAATTAATAACGTTACAGTTTCGAAAAAATCTATCAAAGACTACGCAACATTCAAACTTCTACCAAGTACAAGAAATTACTGTAGAAAGTGAGCGATTCGGCATGGGATGACCCCGTTACGAAGACGAGAGCGGGTTCGCGAGACGTTGCTACTTCTTCTGACATTTTAACGCGTTGATGCATAGTTTAAATCAGCCATGTATGGATAGTCTAAATCAACCAATCAATTGGTTTAGCAATCAACGCGTTAAAACGATCGTCGGTCGATTCGCGAATAAGGAATTGTTCGCGGAGATTCGCTACCGGTTCGAGATCGAGGCGAAAGGTGTCCGCGCCAGATTTTTTGGTACCTTCTCTGACGTTTTGTGTGACAGTGAACGTTTTCCCGGTGTCCAGGGGCACGGTCCAATTTACCGGTTCCGGCGATCGCATGATCATCTGCTCCGGAGATTTTACCCTTGTCGGCTCCGGCGGACTTTTCACCACCGGCTCGTCGTCGATCCACGGGCTTACGGCGGTGGCAGACACCGGTGGCTGCGTCTGCGACGGAGGAGTCGAGGCGATGCTCGAATCCCCGCCGGTTGCGTCCCCGTTTATTTGCGGTTCCGCCGTCACTGGAACGTTTGATCGAGGCTTTAGCGACGAGGGTAAACGTTGCTCTGCTTGGCCACCCACCCCCGGAGGAGCTTGCACTCGATGCATCGAGCCTTTGCTCATCGCGTACTTTGCGTTCGGATTCCGTCTGGGTAACCGCGTCAAGCGTTGCGCAACCTTCCGACTTCTTAGTAGAATTATAAAAATATCGATGGTACAACAGAGAGAACGGAGATTAGAGTCGCGTCAAGATTTGCCATCATTTCGATACAAGTTGCGCGTAACACTTTCCGTGGTTCCCCAGCGGGTTCGGATCAAAGTTACGCGAACCACGGTGGAAGCGACGAAAGAATAGAATCGGAAGTCTCGCGATCTTAACGATGGCTTCGACAAGCGAGTCGATTCTTCCGTTGACTCCGCCATGGGCAGTTCACTCTACTCGAAAAACAGGTAGGCGTGTCTCGAAACGAAATGGTTCTGTTCCACTTCAGGTTCGCTTTGAAAAATATTCGTTTAAACGCGGCTTGGTCGAGACATCGAGCGCAGACACCGGAAACCCGACGAGCCGCGGTTATCGGGAGATCTACACAGTGGGCACAGAGAGCATTTCCCAGAGAAAAGTACACTAGCGTACTCAGAATGCAGGAAACACACGTACAGATATATATGTATATTTGTATATATATATATATACACACACACACACGCGCGCGCACACACAGAGAGACACAAGTGAAGGCAGAGACAGTACTAGATCTTGTGTGACAGTGGTGTGTGTAAATGTGAGCCGTGGCTGTGTTGCGAGCACGCAACAGGTTGACAAAGGGCTCTAACGTTTACAGGCTATTGTTCTCTCTCTACCGCGAAAACGTTTTCTCGATTCGCGCGTCAGACGAAACATCGCGGACGATGGATCGTTTTCGCGCTTTAACGCGCGGAAAGCGCAACGAAGAATTCGCGAGACATCGCACATAAAGCGAGCGAAATCGCGTTCAGCCGATCTAACGATGCGCATTTCGTGCCGGGATCGCCTGTCGGTGGTCGAAGACGTATCGTTCACCGCAGGAAGCACGCTTACGTTTCCTGGCTCGGGCCCTGTCATAAAGTGGCACAGCCGAGCCGTTTGCCACGAGCCTCACGCTCACAGAGGCCTCGAATATAATACGAGGACAACGTCGAAAAGTAGCAGTCCTTTGCATCCGATGGATAAGAAAAATTTCTACGTCGATGGTTACTCGGTTAACGTGCGAAAACTTGTACAATAAAGACTGGATAAATGTAAGATGACTATTCCCACCATTGGGGAAGGTCCCCCTTGACGAACAGCAAGCGAGCAGTTTAATATGATCCTAACTGATTGATACGCTTCTGTCGACTGCTTTCTTCCTCGGACCTCTTTCTCGTTCGCTCTCTGTCCGTTTCTATGTTCGACGCTAGACTGTAGAACCAAATGTATGATTATCCAGTCTTTACTGTATCTTTTATACTTGAATCTTGATCGCTTGTACAGACGTCATGCCCCGTCGAAATTATTCTCCTCCACCGAGCGTTAAGATCGACCACTTTTCGAGTGATTCGGGCCTGTCTCGATCCTCGAGAGGCCCTACACCCATACTCTCGATATCCTCCTGCCACGTCTTGTAAATCGAGTCGACGAATTACGCGTGGAAAGCTGATCTAACGGCAATGGAAATGCGAAGCTTCCTCGAGGCGCAGTCTACGAGTCGCATGGAAGAGATTAACAGACAGATCGTTCCAAACGCAGAGACGCGAGAATCGTGACGCGCGAACGTCCAGCGAGCATGTAAAAACATTGAACGTGGGTACATGCTTCGCGATGAAAGCGGGACCACGTGGAACCCGTGCTCTATTTTACGCGCGAGAAAAGAGGTACATAAAAAAAAAAAAAAAAAAAAAAAAAGAAAAAGACAACTACGTATGCGCGATACGATGGTACATGTTGCCAGAGGCCATCCTCGACGATGCTCTGAAAGGCACGGAGAGACACAGACAGAAAGGCAGAATACAGAAAGTGAGACACAGAGTAGAGAGCAAGGGTTTGAAAGAACGAGACAGAACGATACAGAAAGAACCAATACAGAGAGGGAGTAGAGAGATATTAGGTCATCCCATAAATAATGCGGGTTTTCCCGGGAACTGCAACCAAGTCAAACCGATGCTAGTGTAAACAGAGACTGTTCCGGAGGCGACATACCAGAGTTTTACGATTTTAATTGCCTCGAGAGTTTTTGGTACGTGTCGGATGCGTGGATCGTTCAACTGTAGTGTAACTGTAGCAGCTGTGTGGAGAAACTCTATACAAAAAATGGTTTGAAAACGTTGGTCGAAGAGTTGCAGTCTGGACAACGATTCTTACGCCGGAAGATCGGTCGATGGAGACAGCGTTATGGAGAAATGCAATTTGTAGCTGTCGAGGGATATCCATCTGGGCTGAAAAATGATACGTTTTTGAATCGAACCGTTACTGGAGGTGCGAAACAGGCGTTACAGAGTGATATTATACGAAGACAATGAATTACTCTCGGCGAGGCCACGTGAAAATGGCAAGAGAACGTCGAAAGAATGTCGTGAAAGGAGAACCACGAAACGTGTAGAAAGATACAGAGTGTTGGAAGTCGTACAGAGTGATTTGTAGGTGATTCTAGACTTGGTCAAGCTGTTGTTTTCGGCACACGCAGTCCGTTTGATATACTAGCGTGGTGACGGTTCCTGTGAAGGGAGGGTTTCGTCCTGGGTCTGCTAGTGGACGCGTCAGTAAGATTTTCTTGCACTTATCCAGTGTTTACTGTATATGAACGTTAGGCGAAGACAGGAGACGCCACCGCACTAGGATATAATGCAGCTTGTTCCAATCTCTATAACCACCTCGAGTATTCGATCGATCGTAGACAGAGGGCCGTTTATCCGGCCCTTGAATACGTACCGAGGAAAGGGCGCGCTAGTTATGGGACGACCTGTGTAGAAAGATATACAACAACGAACACGAAAAGCGTTAGATATGTTCGAGCGAAACAAATTAGCAACAAGGCCGAACGGCAGAGAGCATGCTACTTACTAGATTGGACGGCGTTAGCGGCTTGGTTTGACGCGTATCGACTATCGGAGGATGATTTGGATGGATCGGCGGCGGCGGCTGCGGCCGCAGCCGCAGCTGGATCGTCGCGGGCCGTTTTTGGCTGAGCTTCGTTTGGACCTTGGCACCGGCTTATATCTTTAACACGGTCCGGCCTGGCCGCAGCGGCAGCGCTCGACGTAGGTGGGTGATGGACACTCGTATGAACTGAATGCTTTACCGGGGGTTTTACAGTGGTACTTGTGGTGGTGGTGGTTGTGGTGGTGGTTGAGGGTTTGGCGTGATGAAGAGGGCGATGGGGGGGAGCGGTGGTTGCGAGGAAGGCTAAAACATACCGTACACAAAGTACAATGATGAATAAAGGGCCACCGTCCTCCAGGATCTTACGCGCAAGGTACTGTCATCGTTGGACCACCCTGCTTAAAATGTCTTTAGATTTGGAGGTCCCCTCGAACGAGACGCGTCGGTGCCGCGACAACAAATTCAACTGGCCGTTTAAACATCTCTTAAAGCCTCTATCGATATAGACCCTTGACGAGAGGTCTGTTCATTTTTAAGATACGAGAAAACGATTATTTTTTGCTGTGCTACGTATCTATCCATTAACTCGTTAGCTCTTTCGGAGCACACGTTACGCGTCGAATTCCCGTCAGACCGAAATATATTCATATTTTAAGCCTTTTCAAGGAGCCTAAAGTTTAAAGATAAATGTACATGGTATACGTTGACGATTACGATCGAATCTGATTAAATACAAACATACATATCGGGAGATAGAGCCATTTTTAGGTTGAACAGAGATAATACGACGACTGGAAAGAAACAAAGTGACGAGAAACAAAGACGATTATCAAACATTTTAAGCAAGGCTGCGTCGCTTCGTCGAGGTTCATTCTTATTGGAGAGGTGATCGAGGGCTGAAGGGTCTCGCGAAGTTATCGAACCCGCGCAGAATTGCGTCCACGCTCGAATATCGTGATTCTTCCCTTGCGATCGCGTTTCCCGACGAGTGTCGGGGGCTTACTACCCCCTGCATCGATCCTCCAAAAATTGTTCCGAACGTCGCGACTTATTTCTTCGCGAACGTTAATTTTGTATCGCTTGGCGCGCACTCGTCAGCGCACTCGGCACCAATCGCGAATCGAATTCAAGCAACGAAGCGATTGGAAAAAGAAAATTTTGACGCTCGAGGGCTTCGAGATTCGTGACATACATATCTCGCAGAATACCGTGACCGAGAACTGGGCGTGTAGTTGAACCCTTTAACAATTTAACGACACCGAAAAGGGAACGAGAGTTTAGGTAGAGACAGGTGAAAAGGAGAAGTGCCGAGAGAAATTTCGTCCCGGTTGCCTGTGCTCGATGCTGCGTTTAAATTGTTAAAGGGTGAAAATAGTAGGCGTTGGAGGGTGTTGGAGAAGAAGGTGGCGGTGGTGTCGGGTGCAGGACGAAAGGTTAGAGAACCGAGATACGTGAAAGTTGGGCTAGCGGGCAGCAGGTACGTGGTACAGAGAACGTACATTTCCGATGGACCTGTGGGGGCCTCCTGTGGAACGGAGTAGGCCCTGGGCCCGAGGGTGGTGGCGGTAATGGCGGCACGCTGGTCGACGGACCCGTTGAGGAAATCGTCGAGGGTTCCCGTATGCTCCAACGCACGCGGCCAGGGCCCGTGACTGAAACACCCGCTGCCACTCCTGATCAATCTGATCGCACGGTGCTCGACGATCGTCGCGATTCGGTCTCGCGCGAGCAACTAAGCCTGATTTAATAAATGAGAGAAACACGGGCTGCACGGGGTGGTGCTTCGAGGGTGTCTAGCACGATGCGTCCAGCCACTGATCCGACCGTTTCATCTTTCGAGCATGGTATCCGACGGGAATGAGATGTCTGGATGTCGATCGTGGCGTTAAGAGAGAGGAAGAGAGACCGATCGTGAATACGCGAGTGCACCGCGGCTCGGGTGGATCGATGGAACTCGAAATGACGATGACCGACGATGGTGAACGACGTGGATGAAGATGGTGCACGTCGAAGATGCGTGGCTGGCGATGGATAAGAATCGAGTGAAACGGGGGAGTGTCGTTTGTCGGGCATGGCTCGTGGACGCAGGATGGAAGAAATCGTATGAACGCGACGAGATTCTATGTCGTCGATAATGAGAGAATCGTTCGATAACTCTGTCGATGATGACGGGTTCACTTTTTGGGTATGGCTGGCGTTCGTAAAGACATCTAGTCGATGGTTCGAGTACAATGCACGACAACATCGTTGGCTACAAATAAATGTATACAGTCTATATATGTGGATATATCACGCAATCGACGTCTAGTCTCGTTGCTATCGAACGTTACAACACGGGGACGTAAGACGCGTTCGTTGAGGCTACTCGCGATTTACGCAGGCCGTTCGGGATGAGGGGGAACAACATGTCGCAAAAACTTTCTTTACGGACAATCAAATAAGAGCTACTGGTTACTAGTTTGGCAGAGACAGAGAGATAGAAACGATTAAAACACGATTGTCATGCATCTGCCTAAAGATAAAAAAAAAATATATATATATATATATATGTTAACGATGACTTTGCAATTGATACGTCCGGACACACACCGCTCAAAGAATCTACGGATCCGTGTTTCGCGGTCGACGCTTCGATAAGGGACGCGTCGACGCGAGGTCTTTAAAAGCGGTGAATGTCTCTCGCAACACGTTTCGTACAAGGTAATAACGAACGTTCGGCTTTCGAGGCCCACAAGAGCAAACAGCAATCCAAAATATATGTACGAGATTTCTATCCAAATTCCATTTTAGGCACGGAAGATGCAAACGGAACTCGTGACAGACAACGAGCGCCAATCGATTCGGGGTACGGTCTCATGGATGCTAAATCGATCGACTGGTATATCGATACAAGAAGGATATGTCGATAGGGGATGTCGTGGATGCTCGTTCGGTGCTACTTACTCGGTCGTGGATGCCTTTCAGGCTCACCGCTCTTCTCTCTCAGCTCTTTCTCCTTATCCTTTGGCTCCTTCTCTTTCTCCTGGACAAAGAAGAACCGGGTCAACGACAGAACGGAACAATGAAAAGAAATCGAATTCGACCGATTCGTCTCGGAGAGAGAATCTTTGTTTTATCGATGAGAAAATACCCTGGCGTCTTTGGTGACGGACGGTGCACGCGGGGGTTGGCGTTTCGGTGATCGACGCTCGGTGACGCAAGGTCCCAGGCTCTGAGAACGGCCAGTTCTAGGGCTGTTCTTCGGGCTGGACTTCGTCTTTGGTTGAATCTCCTCCTTGTGCTCCTTCGTGTCCTCTCGACGTCGCGGTATCACAGGCTCCAGCTTCTCTCTCGTAGGAGAGGGAAGCAGTGCTCCGTCGCCTGTTGCGAAGAAATCGTCATCATCTGAGAGGATTTCAAAGATGGATCAGAAGTGGTCCGTAAGCTCGTACAGCTGGTCTCCACTCGTTAAAGTCGAACGTCAACCCCTTGAACCGTGAGTTCTCTCAGGCATAGAGAATCATCAATCCTGTGCAAAACTACCGCGACCGGTACCGTTCAAGGGATCGAAGACACCGTCGCGAATAAAATTCTGACAGTAACGCGATTAGATACAAGCTTGCACGACCTTGTCTCGCAATCCATCTTTGAGGGGACTCTTGCTACGAAACACTTTGTATCAACTTCTACTCTCTACGCTCCGCACTTGTGCATTCTGAATACACTTACCGACACCAGTGGTACGATCCAGATGATGGCGGATCAAGAAATCCTTTCTTGCGCGAGCGATGGCTCTTTCAGTATCCTGGAAAGTAGAGTAAAGTGACGACAGAGTATTTGGACGATACGTTTTAGTGGCGATTTACGAGGAACCTACCGCTTTGGCATCGTCTTGCAGTAATCCATGCATAGGTCTAGCCTGCACCGAAGACGGTCGACCCGCTGGAGGCATGGTCATCGTCATAGCGATCGGTGCGACTTTCCTCGTGTTCTCCTTCTCTTTCTCCTCCTTCGTCACTGACCTAAACACGCAATCATTTGTCACTCGATATCTCCAAGTGGTCGTCCCATGTGAGACACGATCGCGTGGAAGAAATAAAACGCAGCTACGACGGAACTCGTGTGAAGAATTGCTCGTTTCGAATCATTCCTGCAGTCGATATCGTTCGAGGCTTCTGGGTGCGAGCCGTGGCTCTTCGAGAACAGCTATATCACTGACGTCGGTGGATCGACGACGCGAGGGAACAATTTCCCAAAAAGCCGCCGTCCAGACCCGGTAGCCTCAAACAGTCTCGAGTATCCGGTTAATTTCTGTTCAACTACGGTTGACTCTTCTAGTTGGTCTTTGTATCCCGAAGAGGATCGCAAACTACCCCCGACCATACACGTATACGACGATAGTTTCGGTAAGAATCTTCGCTCTCTACTCGTCACCTCCGTGTCGTAAGTAGAACGTGCCGCGACTGGTCAGACATCGAGTGAACCTACGTCGCTGACTTTCGTACACTTTGTAGCGCGTCGACCGACTGATCTGGTTACGTACATTTAGCCTTACGTATATTTACCTTAATATCGGCTATTTAGAAGTTTTGCGTTTAATAGTTTTCAGATATAATAGTTGAGAATGAAATTCGATTGGTCGCGAGGTCTTGGTATTTACGCACGATTGGAGCGCAGCTCGCCGCTGCGTCGGGCTATGGTCGTCGAGCGACAAAATTGACCGATTTGAGTGGAGTATAGTGTACTGGCCTGGCAAGGGACAGCGCGTTGAGAGCGTGGTTACTGGAGACTCGTTTCCACAGCGAAGCTTCGTCCTCGGCTGCCAGACCGCAACCCCAGTCGCGATGCTAATGTACAAATCAGAACGAATCATTCTGTTGCTTTTACACGCAGGTTTCTAAGCTAACGCGCTCATTGCGACACTAACGCACACACTAGAACACAGAGCATGCTTCGGAAGACATATATCACACCATCGTGTTCCATCGTTGGGTGAAATGCATGCACGCGAGACGACGAGACGCTGAATTCGCGACCATGATATCGGTCGAGGATCGTACGCGACGGATTCACCGATCGTACCGATGTTTTCTGATCTTGGCGCGTGGGCGTGGTTGAAAAAAAGTTTTGAAACGTCGACGGACGCATGCAAACATCAAACGAAGATCGTGGAATTTCGTTGCCAGCGAGGCGATCAGTCTCGATACGCTGTGTTGCGATAAAAGGACTATGCTCCGAGAACGATACATGTCGAGAAGGGGGAAGGGAGCTTACTACATACTGTTTCCAGTATGTCAGAAGAACCGATTCGCGAGGAACGAAAGACGAATCATACGCCGCGTGTCCGGTTCTTGGTTGTCGAATTACCTTGTACTCGTCAGCGAGTCGCCTAAGCTCGATCACTTCTGAGGTAGGAAACGGTTTCTCCTGCTGTTTGCTCGGCCCTTTATCATCCAATATCCTTACGGTTCTACCCGACTTTTTACCCCTGAAAAGAATCAATCGTGGTTGTAGAACGCCGACTCGTGACATACGCGGCTTCACAGCGATTGGAGATCGTCGTAGATGCCTTTGTTCTTCCTTTTTTACACGTCGCGACACTACTCTGTTCGACGTCGCGTTGCGCAATGTCTCGTTCATCGCGAACACCTCCAGCGACTTTGTCGCTCCTCGAGATAACGAAAGTAATTGCATGGTTCGAAGAGGGTGCGACTTTAAGGTCTTGAGGTGACTTAAAGTAACGAAAATATTCGAGGTGTTCGAGGTAAACGTGACACTCGGTGTACGTCGTCTCGAATCTCTGACCTGAAAGCTATTTTCAAGTCTGGCAGGTCCTCCTCGCGCTCGTCGCCCTCGGGCACCGCTCCGTCGATGGTGTCCGTTCCAGTCCCTCCGACCAGGGGCTCCAGTTCCGATGCCTGCACACCTGCGAATCGTTTTCGATCGTTAGATTTGTCCCAGGACAAATTTTCAAACTTATTTCTTTCTCGCAACTAAAGGGTAATATTGTTGCGACGGTATGAAGATGCCGCGCTACAGTTCCGAGTTACGTCGTCGCGACGGTGTGAAGATATTGCGACGACGCGAAGTTGCGGAAACGAGTTCCCGCGCCTCCGGTTGCCAGGAAGCGGCAAACTTTTAAAATAGTAGAGAGCGATTCGAGAACTCAAAGAGAGAAGACGTTTCGTTACAAGTCTCCAAGATTATCGTTATATTATCGTTAAATTGTTTCAAAGTTACAGTTTGTGAATAAACTTTATATTTAATTAACATGAATTCTCGTGCTTCAACCCCCCCCCCCCGGCGCAACAATATGAAAACATTTTATTCTACATATTCGATTCAATTTTCCACATGGAATCACCCCCTACTCGCTTGTACCACCAGTTACGGTACACCCTGTATTTAGGGAGCATTTACCATCGCGTTTGTGATCGACATCGCCCGGGCGTTTCTTGTGAACCGGGGCAGGTCCTGTAGGCGCGATACCCTGCTTAAGAGCCCCCATGCTGAGAGATTTCCTAGGTGGTCCTGTCGTTCCTGCAGGCGCTCCCGCGGCCGTGACTCCCGGCGGGACAGTCTCGCCATTTGTCAGTTGCGGTCGTCTAGGCCAAGCGAACTGCAGCCGGTACTCGGTGCTGATTCGGGATATCGCTTTGCTCAGCTGACTTGGCGGCAAACCCGACTGCGCTGTAACTTCCTGCGATAGGACGATTTATTATTTCACGGCTGATGTACGTCCACTTAAAGGCACCGTAATTATTGGAATTTAAGGGTGCGCTGCAATAAGGAGGCAGCTCCATTTGTTCACGGTTTTGAAGTTAGAAAGGGTGCGATAAGGAAAGAGCTCCGGTCGCTCGAAAAACTGATAACGTCCATTTGACGGACACGGAGCAGGAAGAAGAACGAATTTTGCACTAATTTTACGACTTTTTCTATTCTGTATTTTTTGTCCGTATCGCCGGGTGTTTTAAGAATAAAGTAAACGCGTGTTTGCAAGAACCGTTTCCTTACGATAACGTACCCGAACTTTGTCAGCTACAACGTTCGAGTCGACGGTGTCTATGCCACCTCCGTCGGCCGCCGTTATGAACTCGTGCGTCTTGTATGCGAGCTCCGGGCATTTCTTTCGTCTCGGCAACGGCGGTTCCAAAGTGGGTCCTGAAACGAACATCGTGACCCGTTGAAAGCCTCCGTTACGAGTTATCGGCGGGTTCTACTCGTCGCGATCTCGACCGCTTCGCTTAACAGAACGATTTTCCGCGAATCGAGCCGATTCTACTGTTACCGTTGCTCTTCCTTTTGAAATCCGAGGCCCGTACCTCGTCTCTCGCAATCCCGTGCGCTTCGACGAAGTTTCGAGTGCCAGAGACTGCTCGAGGCTTCGTTCGAGGGTGAAAATCGATTTCTGTTAATGGAACCAATTAACGCAGCGGTCGAGAGTGTATGCGTGCGCGTCTGTGTGGACTGTGTTGTGTATGTGTATGTGTGTGTGTGCGCGCACGTTCACCAAAAAACGAACTCGCAGATGAGCGAATTTCTCGAGGCGAAAGCATGTATAGAACAAGCAGAAGCTGCTACAAATCGTTTGTACAATAAACAAAGCATTCTCTCTAAAAGAAGAAGAAGAAGAAGAAGAAGGAGAAAAAGAAGAAGAAGAAGTAGAAGAAGAAGAAGAAGAAGAAGAAGAAGAAGCAAAACAAAGATTTCAGCAATGTCCACGTGGCGCGTGGGGCGTCCACTCGCTCTCTACAAACCGTATTTAGCCCTCTCTCTGTCTATTCTCGTTATACACCTGGTACCTGCAACCGGAAGTGGTCTCTTTTTCGCTCGAACGCAAGATCTCTGAAAGACGATTAAAACAACAAAGCGAAAAGCGTCTCGAGAGGGTCGCGGTTTCGCTTTGTAGCGAGGAAAATAATGGGCCTCGAGTTCGCGGAAAGGTCCTTCTGCCGGCGAGCGGCGTTTTCCGCGACTATTTCCTCGCCACGTTTACGTTTTGCCGCGATGACGATGAATCGAACCGACGCGACGCTCATCGGTAGTCGTTCCCGTCGCTTGCGGCTGTTTCAGACGAGCCACTCGATGGCTGCCAACCAATCGTTTTCCTTTCTGTTTTCCGTTCGCCATTCCGTGCAACGATAATCGCGATGTCTATCTACCGTAGGACGCGAATGCTCTTTGAAGGCCTCCTGTTGGAGGATGTTCCATCCTATCTTTAATCTCACGGTACAGTTTTTCCCTTGAATAGCTGTAAATTCTCAATAACCATTACGTAATGATTACTTTGATCAAGTAGTTAAATAATCGCCATTACAATTACTTTGTAATGGTATTCGCAACTACTCAACTAGAATTTACCAGTAATTCGATTACTTTTTAATAACTACTTATAACAGCCCCAGAAAGTAATTAAAAGGCGTCTAAAATCTAGAGTAGTTAACGACTAGACCCGTACAGCGGTCTCGACGGGCTTGAGCGGTGAAAATATTTGACCATAACAGAAGGGATAACGTGGCCTAATCTTCGGTCACCGTATCCAGCTCTGAGCGTTCCCTTCGGTCGGCACGTATCTGACGTGGCACGCCAGCGAGCGTCTGGTCTGCAAGAGCCCTTACGCTTTACGCCGTGAATTAAGGTCAACGGAAATCGGATTCGAACGGTATACCGTTGAGCGGGGTGAAGTTGAACACCGAGGAGGTCAAGTTGTCTGAAAAGCACGCAGGTGACGTCCGACTCGCTCGTCCTCGTAGCTTCCTGCCACCTTTCGCGGAGGACCTCCGCGCGAAACGGCTCCGATCCGTCCGCGGGGCATTCTGTTATTTCCGGTTGGTCGTGCGACTGATTCGCGCGCGACAGTTCTACTTTTAGAACGCGACTATTGTCGCTGGACGACGCCAGAGGCGACAATGCACACGCGAAAGATCGATGCGACTCCGCGTGTCTATAGACGCGTGTCCGTGCGTGTGCGCGCGGGTAGCGTGTGGTTGGGACCGTGTGTGCGTGGGTGTGTGTGCGTTGAGTGCGCGACGGTGCGTGGAATATTGACTCGGTTACGTAACCGTCTTTGCGATATTAGTGCAAACAACTCCCGAGGCGCCTGTTCGCGATTCTTCAAGGAACAAGTTTGCCCCAATTTCGACAGCTTCGGACAAGGAGAAATTCCAAGCCGAAGGTACGACTAATCGAAATCGAGGCGTTCTCTTCGTGTGTCGGGTGTTTTCGAGTGATTTTTGCGATTTCGTCCTTCGAATTTGGTTCGTTTGCACAAGCGTCTTCCGAGTAACAAGGGGATCTACGGCAACGTTTCTCAAACTTCACCCCCGCTCGTACCCCAGTTTGAGAAGCGCTACCCCGCGGTATGAACGGAAAGATTAGCTTGCAAAATTCTCGACCGATGCTTCCTTAACCGCCTAAAAATAAGCATTGAATATAATACGGTTTCAAGAGCCAAGTCGAATCTTGCTTTGGTGGCTTCGTTCCAATCGCGTTCCGTTCATTCTCGACAAAGTCGACATCGCGACGATCACGTTTCGTCTTTACGAGCCTGTCTTCCGATCGGGTAAAACCATCTTTTCGGTACCCGTTTTACTGCCTTCCACGGTTCGCGGGTCTTACGTGGCTCGTCGCGAAGACTCTCGAAGGTAAAATAATAATAGGAAACGGAATACGATATCGCGTCGAATTGTTTTTCTTCCAATCTGGGAAATCAAAGAACGGTAGCGGAGAGCCAAGTCAGACGAATGCCACGGCTGGCTGAGCACGGGGACACCTTTCGGAGCCAAAAAGTAGCGCACACCGACGACTTAGCTCTTCGAGGAAGGGCTCTTTGAAAAAGCATTACAACTCGTGGCACCGCGACTATTGGCGTCTACTTCGTATGAAAATCGGTATGAACCTAGACTTCATTGAAAGCAATAATGGTACCGTTTACACAGGGAAGGTTAGGGGACTTATTGCGACGAACCACGCGTACACCCGGCGATCTTGAATTTATTCTCGCGCTCCGAACCGAATCTATTCCGCGAGGCCCTCGAACTCGTTTCCCCGGAAACGAAAAAGTTCATCGTCTCTTATAGGATGGTCCTCTTTAAGATATCGTGGCGGTTGCACGAGAGTAAAAAAACCACGTAGATAACGACGACTCTCGCGGCGCATCTCGCTCAAAGGTAATCGCATCGGATGGATCCCGGCTTTGTGCTCCAGTTGCGTAGCTGAATGGAAATCGAGGCTCTCTGTTCAACCGCCCGTAAGGGAATGCTTCGTTTTACGGGCTCGAATCATTAGATCGTGCACGAAGAGATGCATATCATCGATGAATCTGCCGTTTTCGCTCAACGACGGACAACTAATACGGAAAATGGCGTGCATGCTGGAATGGACGTACTTCTCTTGGACGCATGCGATTCGTTCCATGCCGAGAACGAGCGTTGGATCTTCGTTCCCTGATCCCAAATTCTGTTAACAATTTGCGGTCAGCTGTATCGTATCGTCTAAAATACAAAGAAAGACTTCGGTCCAATCCGGACGGAAACAAAGGATAAAAAAATGAATCAATCATTTTTGGTGGCCGAAAGTAAAGTTCAACCACCTTGGGATGTTTCGATTGGACCTGCAATGACCGTAAAGTGTTAATCCTCGTGGGGTGTTCGATGGCCGATCAGAATAAGTCGTGCGACGTGCAAGTTACTAACTATTTGAGACGGACGAGCGAAGGTGCATGAAAGATCGATGCAATCTGAAAAAAATACGCGCGGGGCGCGAACGGTCGTGCCCCGAGGCGAGATCCAATGGCAGAAATGAACAGCCATAGGTGCCGAGGATAAAAGGTAATAGCGGTACGGCTCGTTTCACAGCTTTTTTCGGGGTATCGAAGCAGAACGAAGTGGCCTGGCGGAAGGGTTGCCGCTAAAAGTTCTCCGTCGTTTTCTTTTAGTTGGAGTTCATCGCGGATCGATGCAGTCGCGCGGTACAGGGTGTTCCGCTAGACATTTATCGTGACATCATCGCTATTTCGAATAGAAGGAATTCGAGTGTACATGCAATCATAAGTATTCGTACCTTTCATGTCTGTGGAAGACATTTGTCTAAATTCATTGATGGATTCCATGTTTCCGAATAAATTTTTTTATTATAAACACTTATGTACGTATTTATGATTTATTTGGAAACAGCAAAACTGCCGGTTAATTTAGACAAATTTCTTCGATAGACATAGAGGATACGAACACTCGCGAGACTGACTGTACGTAAGTAATCGAAATTTAAATGTTCTCCATGCCTTCAACCATATTTAAAACAGAGAATCGGTGTGAATAAATATCAAATATCAAAGCGTCCTCGCGTTATAGTTTAGCCACGGATGGCCAATAAAAATCAACGATAGAAAACCGAATCGCTATATTTAACGACGGCCTGGCATTAAAACGGCCTGCGCCTAGTGGAGCACCTTGTCCAATCGTCACTTTTCTCGGTCATCCCCGTCGCAACTTTCAGTTTAGCCCAGAAAACCGTGAGAAGGATTTCCGTGTGTATCAATAGCCGGCGCGAATGAAACCGATAAGCCTGACTTCTCCCTCTCCCTCTTCGTCGTTTCTCGATTTCCAAGCGTCACTCGACTCGTTGGCTGTGAATCAATTATCTCCGCGGCCGGCGTTTTCATTTCTGCCAATGGAATAGCTCGCGTTCCCGTTGAGCGCGGCTGCTCCAAGATCGTCGCGACGAAAGTAAAAGTTTCGCGATGGTAGAGAGAGAGAGAGAAAGAGAGAGAGAGAGAGAGAGAGTGAAAAAAAATACAGAAAAAAGGGAGGAAAGGAGAAACAGCGGCGGAAAGAGCGGTCTTCTTTTTTTTACGCGCCACGTCTCGGTGCTTTCCAGCGCGAGCCGGAAGCAAATTGGTAACATCGAAGAGACTGTTTACGCGCACGGAAAAGTGCTTTCGAAGCACTCGACGCTCGAGTCGAGATTCTCTAGTAATTGTAAATCAACCGTGGTTTCCTTAATGATAAAGAAAAGCAAGAGTATAGAGAAAGTTTCGTTCGATACAATAATTTCGTCCATATAAGGTAGATGTGCTCAATTTGGCCAGGCTAATGTGTACAATGGCGAAATTGTGATACGCGGTGTACGCAAACATCGTCACGATGAGATTCCATCAAGTT